CCCCTCGTCCTGACCTCCCAGCTCCCCCCATCCACCAACCTCACCCCCTCAACCCTCGTAGAAAACTCAATAAGCCCCCCCAAACCCTCCGCATACCCCACCAAATACCTCTGCACGTCCTCTCTCGTAGGGAACAACAAACTCCCCTCCTCAAACGCCAAATCGGAAAACTTCATAATATTTTTCGGAATATTAGTATTCAGCTTCTCATACATCGGGTTGGAGAACAGCGGTGCGCCCTCGGTTCCGTCATCGGGCCAGATGGGGGGGTCGGGAGGCACATGCGGGTTGTTACTTGGGACTGAGACCCTTTCGCTGGGAATGGATGTGTAGTTCCATACCCCGCCCACCTCGGCTTGTTGCTCGAAGATGTCGATTTGAGAGAAGCATTTTTCGGCTAGGAGGTATTTTGCTGCTGCCAGACCGGTTGGTCCTGCGCCTATTATGGCGATCTTTTGGATGTTGAAGGGTCCGGGTGGGGGTGAGGAGGAGACCATGGGTAGGTGGGTTATGGGGTGCCAGTTGTGAGATGTCAAAGAATTTTGTAAGGGGATATTGTTTATTTGGAAGTCCTTTGGTTTTGGTTTTCTACATGAGAGGTTTGTAGGGAAATGTGGATACGCTGATGGTGTTCTGTGAGACGGTCACGAAGTGAGAGGACAACAAGTGTGCAGGGATGATGGTACCGCAGGTGGATTTCTCATCCGGATGACATGACATGTTTTAGTAGCCATAACCCAAAGCAAAAATCAAGAAAAGATGAGATAAGACTTACCTCTGAGTACTCATTTCACTGTGATTATTTGATTACACAGAATGATATTTACCAACATATCGGGACACTACCTAGGTAGTTAATTATCAGGCTACCTTTTGGATTTAGAGCATTATAATGTGCTTGTACAAGTAAGACCCTCTAAGCATTTCATTTTGCCTTCAAGGAATAAAATTACTCCAAAACAATCATTACAAATGTAAGTCGTTTAAAGCGGCATATCATATAAGTATATTGATTTTCCATGTTCTAGTTATTTGTCTACCAAACACAGGACGGCTTCTACCCCCCATATGGTGCTATAGCTAATATATTGTTCAACTATAGAAAAGATAGGTCCACTACCACAAAAGAACCTCAGCTTGTGAAGCTCTTAAATATTTCACGAGTGCTCTATGGCCTCCACTGACAAGTATGACCCTGTGATGCGCTCTGATATGTGCTATGAAAGGGAATATTCTAGGCAGTCTACCTGAACCACTCCTCGCTTACAAAATCCCATGATTGCTGCGAGAGGGGATACGAGGATAGGAAGAGTAAGGGGCAGCTCAAAGGAGGGTTGCACTGTACTATACCTGCCATGCGAAAGTCCCTCAATCCGTCTTACCTTCTGGCCACATCCTCCCAATGTGCTTGAGAGGTCTAGCTTGAGTGTTGTAATATAACGATGGTGCATGACGCTCGTGAGAGGCATATCCTCTTTAAGCACTTTACCCCACAGTCCACTTCCAGATTCGACCCGATTAGGTTCATGATAACATTGACATCCTGAGGCCTAGACATGACAAGTATTGGGAGAGAGTTCAGCTTTAGAGCATCCCAGAGCGTCTTGACCTGGACAAGGCCCAAATAAAGAAGCGAAGAAGTTCGTCTGTCCTCCTGCCTCTGTTGTCAGACTTACAGCTGCGAAAGGTTAGCAGAACGTCACTATGGTGCCCCAACAAATGAATATGTTAAGCCAAGTATTATAGATCAGAAGGTGCCAAAATGTATCTCACAAGCAACCCAAAAGCGCCGAAGCCCAAGTGGTTGCTTCATATTACCAGAAATTGTAGGTTTCCTCATACATGAGCTGGCAATGCAGACCGACTGGAACCCTGGAAATTGAGTCACGTACAGTGTCTTAAGAGGCGCGTCAAGTACAACGATGGATGATTCAAAAGCTTCACCCAAGCCTCGGGTATTGTGCTGCTCCCAATGTCTGTCCAGTCCTCCCCAGGTCGTCGTTCAATAGGTATGTTGCCATCTGTAGGTCATCATCGTGTCATGGAAGCCGCACGAGGGGCCCTCGTGACGATGGTTTTAAAGTGGTGCAATAATCTTGGCCACGCATCAGAGTCGCGCAGCTGAGTGGAAGAGTTCAAGCTGTCGAAGATTTGAGTTGGTGGTCTTGCTGTTGAAGAAGAAAAGAGAAAATCTCGCGACCCAAAAATTTGAGGTTGAAATATTGTCGCCCGTCCACCGCCCCCGCTAAGCCCTTTCAAGCGATGGTGCCAAACCTGCCCCGCTGCTCTACGAAGTGTGTGCTTGCCCAATTGGAACGCCTGCAGGTGATTCTCTGCCACTGCCCTGGCCCGGCAAAACCACCCTCAGTGCCTCTCTGCATCACCCGCAGCGATTACAATCGCCTCTCACCAAACACACTTACAAGCACACCCAAAGCAGTAATTGAAAGACCCCCACGACCAGTACGATTAATCACAAACAACTACGACCTCACAAATTCCTCAACCCGTCCGACTGTACCACCCCATAGCGCTCAACTCAATCTCCTCGCCTGGTTCTGCAATTCGTTTCTCGTCCACTCTGCAAACAGCTTCCACAGCCAACAAGTCAGTTCCCAAAGAGCTTCAACACCACAACTTCAGGGGGCTCTTTCAACCTTGTCAACTGATCTGTATAACTTTGCTTTGTCGGAATGGATAACCTGTGGACTCGCCGTTCAAAGTAAGCAGTTTCTTGTGAATAGTTCATCTTGATGTATCTGGGCGCAGAATTAATTCTGGGGGATCAATAGCACCAGCAAACTCTCTCTGTCCACAGGAGCGCCAACAAACGGTGCGCCTGTCTCCAACGATCATGCTTCCCGAACCTTCCCCCTTGGTAAACGAAACGGCGATACCTCCTCCCAAAGCAACAAGAACCCATTCAGCTCGATGTCCCCTGCCGCCACCTCTGTCGCTTCTCCAACTGGTGCGTCCAGCGCATTTGGATTAGGAACTGGCGCATTTGCTTCTTTTGGCTCTTCTAAAACTCCGAAAACACCTGGGGGAGTTTTGGATTTTGGCAGTGTCATAGGAGGAGCAGGAAAAACACCCACGGCCGAGAAGCAGATGAAGGATCTGGCTTCCAAGCCCTCAAAAGTATCCATGGCAGAGCCGAAGTCCAGTTCTCCTCAATCGCACACATTAAGACATAGCTGGGTCCTCTGGTATAGACCACCAATCTCTAAGTCGAATGGGTTTGTAGAGTATGAGAAAACCTTGAATCCTCTGGCAGCTTTTGATACAGCAGAGGATTTCTTTGGCGTTTACCACCACCTTAAGCGACCCTCAACCTTACCACTCGTTTCCGACTACCACATATTCAAGAAGGGTATTCGTCCAGTCTGGGAGGATGACGAGAATAGAAAGGGCGGAAAGTGGATTGTACGTTTGAAGAAGGGAGTGGCGGATAGGTACTGGGAGGAGTTGATTTTTGCCATGGTTGGGGACCAATTCGCAGAAGCAAGCGAGGAGGTTTGTGGAGCTGTCCTGAGTGTGCGAAATGGAGAGGACATCCTAAGTATCTGGACCCGCAATGATGGTGGAAGGGTTCTCAAAATTAGGTACATACGCCCTCTCCACTCCGTCCAGTCGCATCCATCGAGCTAATAAACTTTTTAGAGAGACTACCAAGCGCATTCTCGGCTTTCCACCGGATACCAAGGTTGAATGGAAGAGCCACGATTCCAGCATCCAACAACGTACAGCTATAGATGATGCGCGAAAGGATAAATCCAACCAGCACAACAACTATCATGCCTCCCCAGCCAGTTCCCGACATAAGGACAGCGATCATTCTCACTCCAGCATGAGCGATAAGAAGCCAACTTTATGATGATAGATGTGGGAGTAGTTTGTTTGGTCGCTTTGACATGCTAGACATTCTCTCTTCTTTTTTCTTCAAAGGAAGAAATGCCTTCTTGCATTTGTACCAGTAATTTGGATTTTGCATTATTTGGTAGGAACAAAAATCAAGAAAACGTAATGAATTACGTTTTCGTGTGTGAAGGGACACCACTTTCTTCTTCTATTTTCACATGCAACGCAGGGATGGGAGCGAGTGTGTTGTTTGGGTTTTTGTGTGAAAAATTCTGTATCATACATAGGACTTTGCTAGGGAGCAAGCAAGCAAGCATACTTGATGGATGTTTACGCTTTTGATCATTAGGATCTCTGAATTGAATCTAGCGATTTATGAGATGAATGAAGCATTGATGAATATTTGTTCTTTTCCTTTTTGAGCAAGTAAACAAAACATATGAACATCAGAGCATTAACATCAATCTACAAGAGAAACAGATGGGGAAGTTAAAGGTAGCTTTATGAATGTGTGGTTCAGTGATATCGTAGGCCATGCTCTCAGGGTTGTGATTAAGGCAGATCTGTGAGCTGAAAAGTGAAGTGAGGGTAGAACGATGTGTAGCTAAGTACTAGCAAACTTCAATTCATGAACCTCACTTCACCACCAATTGCCATTGTTAACAAAATCTCTATGACACCGGACCGACTTCCTCCGATTACCCCGCCTCCTCTTTCTGCTAATTTTCCAGTTGAAATCTAGCATCACCACTTCCCCCATACTGCTTTCTCTAAATCAAAATCTCCGTCAAGGTCCAAACTAGGACACAACAGCAAACAGACCTACACAGCGTATCTAGGCTATATCCTCAATTGAGAGGTCTTCCAGACCGCCACACTAATCGCACTAGGCAAGAGCCCGTTGAGGTCAAATTGGTAGCAAACAAACGCGACCGACCGTTGACCGACCGACCCCCTCGTCACTTTTCAAGCAAGACACAGACAAAGCAGGAACTACCATGAGGTATGCACACAACATCTACCGACTTCTGACTTTGAGTATGCATGCGTTTACACTCACAGTCCTTCTCTACAATCTCCATCTTCCTGTTAGAGACTTAACTTACAACCCTGTCAGATTGTCCCGACGCATCTGTCTAGCATCCATCCATCCAAAATCGGCCCTCAGCTGCGCAGGAGTTTGCAGATCTGGACGCGGACCGAATCTCCACAGATGAGATAGGATCGGTTCATCTCTTCCAAAGTCAGCTCAACATCTGGTTATACAGTGTTTTTTTTCTTTGAGTTGATAGCTTTGGGGATTGCGGGGTGAAAGCCAGCTTCAACCTCAAGGTTCTCCAAGGCTGAGCTCCCTCAAGAGGCACCCAATCGGTTGTTCTCCGGCATTCCACAACAGCCTTGCTGGCGCCACTTTTAGTGGAGTGGGCATTTGGATCGCGGTGCCTCATCAATAGTGAGTGACCTCTTTTAATATCGCGACACTTTTTTTCCCTTCTGCCACCACCCATTGCAGAAAACAATCGCAATCGGTTTGCCATATTTCCACCCTCTTTAAATGCAAGATCTACCGACCATGGCCGCTAAAATATACAGATGGAACGAGAAGGTCAACGCGTAGAAGAAGAAAGATCAAAACGCTCTAAATCGAAATCTATAACCACTTTTACTCGAGACCCGCCTCTACTTTCCAGCCCTGCGAAAAAAAAGAAGCCTATTACGAAAGATAAATCGGCCGAGTCAGACCCAGAGTACTGGAAAATCAACAGAATCCAAGAGGAGAAGATTAGCAAGGGAACAATCTGGTACTTGATCGATTGGGCAGACCACCCTGTTACTGGAGAGGTTTACCCCAGCAGCTGGGTATGTTGTAACACTTGCCCCCAGAAAGAACATTGCGCATGCTTACTCGTCTTAGGAACCCGCTGCAAACGTTACCGAAACCGCAATTAGGGAGTGGAATTTGAGAAAGATTGCCCAAGAGCCCAAAAGAGAAAAGAGACTGTCGCAAGACCCCTCCTCACCCACTGTCCCAAATAGTACTAGCAAGCCTGCCGGAGCTGTCAATCGAAAGAGGAATAGAAAACGAAGTTTAACTCCTCCGCAGCAAAAGAAGAAACCACGAAAGGCAGGCACATCGGAAACAGCAAGATTCCAGTCGGTCTCTCTCGAGAACCACAATTCGCAAGAGAGACCCACTGAGATCAAGGATAGCTACGAGGAGCCATCGTCAAGTGCGACATCGGTTCGAGCTGTGTACCAAGCTCGTGTGGAAATCCCCCCCATTCCAAATACCTTCAACCGAGCAGCGTACTCTCCCGTTCCGCTCTCCAGCTCGCAACCCTCGGAAAAGTACTCGCAAAATCTCTCAGATACGACCCAGTCACAACTTCAGACTCAATCGCAAACTTTTGACCAATTTTCTAGTTCTCAGCAAAAACTCGTGCGAGAGGAAGTCGAAAGTAGTGACGAGGAGTTGCCTCAGCCGCTAGTCAGACGTCCCGCTCGTTCAAGAAAGGTATTACGAGAAGAAGTAGTCGTAATTCCAGATTCGCAAGATACTGGCTCGTCTCCTACTTTCAAAGCTACCCTTCAAGCCGATACTAGGTCAAGTGATTTATCTGCTGCAGCGCAACACTCATCTCGCGACGAAGCAACTGTAGCATTTGAAAGTCAACCCGGGACTGGACCCTTTGCTCTTAAGGCCCCCTCAGGATCCGTCGAGGACCCAATCTCTCATTCTCAACTATCAGAATCTCGTCCTCATTCTTACCCTGGTGTGGAGGTTCCTTCTCAGAGAGAGAAGACTGGACCAGCACTGCGAGTCAAGCCCGTGCAGCAAGAACCGAGTTTGGAAAGTCAGGAATTTCAAACTCAAGTTCCATTTTCCACTCAGACAAGCGACATCACTGAAAGTGGGAATGGTGAGTTGGTGTTGACAGAGAGGTGAGTCATTTTCTTTTGTTTATAATACTTCCAGCCATGGTGTCCAGCTGCTTTGGATAAATCATTTGAGTCCAAACCCTTTTAAACATAGAAAACTAGAAGAGTTTCTATGTGAACGAAGGATACGGTTGATGCTAAATATGCTCTCATTTCAACTCAAGTAGAGTCAATTTGACAAAATATTAGCCAATTCGCAAGCCCTTTTTTGAGTTCGTGAATAGCAGACTCGTTTCTGCCTTGGCCCTTGGCTTATTGTCTCCTTACTTTATACTTTTGCGGCGAAATTTCTAACTCATGTCAGTGACGCTTCTCATTTCATCCCAGTCCAAGAAAGTGCTGGCACCGAGTCTCAGCAACGCCAACCATCAGGCTCGGCTAGTCTCGTGCCATCCCTTCAAGCTGTATCTGAGACAGTATTGAGGTCATCTGCATCTGCGCCCCAGTCTTGGTCACAGTCTCATTCAATCTCCCGGCCAGTCCTTTTGCAGACTGTGACGAAAGATATTGATAGCCTTCAAGCAAACTGTGACACTGCCTCGGAATCTTCGCCCACATCACCGCAACCTAATTCACCTGTAGCAGTTCGATCGAGGTCCCAAACGGTACAATATCGCCAACAATCTTCCCCTATCCAAAGCGACCCGGTCGTGCAACCAAGCTCTGACGCTAGCACAAAGGATATCTCTGCAAGACAGAATTCTTCTAGCTCCGAGTCCCTATCTCGAGAAGACAAAGGAAAGGTTCCGCAAAGTGGTCTGATTCAAAGTATCGAGCGAGCTTCAGAGTCCTTGTCGCCGTCAAAAATGGAAGACTTCAGCGATGCAAGCCAGGACACGAGAGCGTTGTTGAAGGCTGCGAGGATGAAAGCTGTAGAAAAGAGGATGGCAGAACGTCTGGTCGCAAGAAGTACTTCCACTTTGCCTGCTACACCTCCAGCTCCAGAAGTACCTAGCCAACCACTGCCACTCCGGGAAACTATACCACCCCCCTCTCCAAAGACTTCCGAAAGAGCTTCTGAGGAGCCAGAGTTCGATGCGATACCAAAAACTTTGGTACCGTTGCAAGACGGTGATTGTCTTATACCACTGCCTTTAATGGCATCTATTCGGGATGGCTATGTCCAAACCATCAAAAACAATAAACAAGCCCGACTGGACTTTATCGAATATGGTAATGATGCCGAGGTCGTTGAGAGGATTGATATGATGCTTGACGAATTAGAGAAGCAATGCGATCATCCAGATCTCAACGCGGATGATTATACATCGCAGCGAGAATTACCACCAGAGATACAGGGACGGTACGCGGAGACTGTAAGCACAAAGTGCTTCTTCGTTGGCGAACTTATTAGAGCGATGCGGGAGTCTGATAAGCATCTGGTAATTCTCTCGAGGCCTGGACGAATGTTAGAGATCCTTCAGGGACTTTTGATCCGCCACCAATTCTCCAAGCGCGTTGGGGATGGGAACACCTACCTTCCTACCGCTGGGTCTTTACGAGTTACGCTTCTTGGGCTTGATTATGAAGAAAGAGAGGAGCAGAGTCTCGAGCCTGCGTCTTTGGTGGTGGTGTTTAGTCCAAGTTCAAATTTGAGCCAATATTCGGCGTTAAGAAGAAACCCCGCTAGTTTGACGCTAGCGCCGCTGGCTTCGCTTGTTATCACCCACTCAATTGAGCATCTCAACCTGTGTATCGACCAGGCGACACCCCCCAACGAGAGATACTTCTTGCTCATCAATTTTCTGAGTCAGATTCAAGACCAAGTCGGTAAACTCGACTCAGAGCATCCCTTGATAGAAGAAACCGCCCTCGACCTCGCGGCATCTATTATGGACGATTCGCAACAACTGCCTGTGTGGGGAATGCCTCCAATCGACGTCGCCAGCTTTGCGAGTCGTTCAACACCTGCTCATCCCAGCAACCAGGTCGCAGGCGCCATGATGGGACCTGATGGCAGTGCAACTAATAACGAAGTTGCTTCTGCGAAGCGCCAATTCGTATGTCACTCTCTTGACCTCACTCGAGTACGATAGCTGATGTTTCTAGAACGTGGAAGAGAACGCTGTTGACGCACGAAAGCGACAAAAGTTGTTGGATGGTCATGACCAACCTGACATGACTGCCCCTCTTGCTTCCACGATGATTGCCGCCAACACGGATTGCCCACAACACTCACAACGCGTAAGTTGATGTTCATTTCTACTTTCACACGTAATCTCATTAATGATGGCCTAGATCCGCGAACTCATGAAGGCGCTTGAGGAAAAAGACAAGATCATCAGTCAAAAGTCAAAGCTAAATACCAACCTGGGAGCGGAAATTGTAGACCTCAAGCGCGGTATCACTATAATCTACCCGAAATTTTACGAAAGCCTCAACGATGCTAAGAAATGCTCGCGCGAGGCTGATGAGTCGAAGAAGAGTGAGGACATCTTGCGACGCAAGTACGATGCATTGGTCTCACAACACGATCAACTTAAAGCACAAAAGACTGCTGTGGACACCCAACTGGCGGCTGCGCGCGAGGAGTCACGAAACTCGTCTGATCCACTGGTAGCAGAAATGAGCCGAGTCAACGAAAAGAACACCGCTTTACAAGCTGAGATTGAAAAGCTTAAGAAGCAACGAGAGTCTGACGCAAAGGAGCTCGAGTTCATCCGGAACCAATACCAGGATGCTTCTTCAGCAGCTGGTGAAGCGAACGCCAAGAACCGCTCCCTCGAGGCTGAGGTCGTCGAATTGCGCAAGCGAGCTGATGAAAATTCCGTCCTAATTCATCAAATCGCCAAAGACACTGCTGTCGATCAATACACCGATGCTATCCATGCTCTTCAAGGAGAAAATGCCGAGCTAAACAATGAGCTTAAGCGTGCCTATGAGGACAGCAGACAACGACGCGTCCGTACGACTAGAGGTGCTTCCACTCCTCGAAGCCCTCGCATGGCTCCCGGCACTATGAGTCCTCGTAATGTTGGTCGTACCATGGGTGGAAGTCGTGCAGGTTCTCCTGCGCCCGGCGAGCCGAACAGAGGCAACTTCTTTGAGGGGAGTGCTGTCTTTAAGCAACGGGGACGTTTTCAATGAGGGGCCAGTCGATGCTTTTGAGGTCTGTGATCCTCGGCTATTGTATGATGAGCTAACTACGACGATGCTCTCTGCCTAGCTGCGGTCTCTCAAATCTCAATTTTTTGCTTCGGCTTCTTCACTTCTGTGCTTGTTCACCCTCTTATGGTTTTCCTGTACAAAGTTTGCGGCGGTGACTTTTTTTCTTTTTTCCTTTCCTGTTTGTCATGAATGATGCGATACTCGAGTAATCAAGGGATGGGAACTTTGCATTGGCCGTTGTCTGGTTATCATACCCCCTTCTTCTATGGGAGGCCTTTTTACAATTGAGCGGATGGCTGGCTGGCGTTTCGGGCGTTGCACACTACCATGGTCCCTTTTGTGTGTTTTTTTCCAGAGACGATGCATCATGATGGTTCAGAACGTCGGGGAGTTCTTTTTGCGTTAATTGTGCTTTTTACTTGCACGATAGATGGGGGTTTCTGCAAAATGGTGGTGGTTTCTTGATAATGAGGGTTGTTTGCTTGTTATGCTATTTTCTTCCCCCATGGTGAGATGGAGGGATTCGATGGCGTCTAGCTGCGTCCTTCCTTTTCGAGGATTTGATAGGTACTGATGATGATGAGGTTGACTGACTGCTATCTTGCTATTTACTTTTTCTTTCTTTCCTCCATGGTGAGATGGGGGATTGATGGATGGATGTGATGGTATTGTGTAGCTACTTCTTTCATGAGATCATCTTCGGTTTGGACATATGTATGTAATGGAATGAATACAATGCATATGATTCGTGAATTTATTGTGGTATTGTGATTACTTGGCTGCGATTCATAATTACTATGTTTCTGATAAATCCTACCCACGTATGTCGGGCCCCTTTCCATGAGTTCCTGTGTTATAATCCAGTATTACTGTATTCGACCAGATCCTATCTACATCTATACCTCCTTAACCCCCCTTACCCCCTAACCCAATCCTAATCTATACATCCCTCAAATTACAATAGTCATTCTAATATCCTTCAACATCCCATGTAAGACTCCCCCCACCTTCCCTCCATGCCCATACATCCTATATCAAAACTCTACTATTCGCCCAACACCCTCCCATTTTTCTTCCTGTAGCTATGGCTATGGATATGGATATATATATATCCACCCCCCTCGCACCATCTTTTACTACACGATAGTTCTACACAAGTCCCAGTGTCCGTCCTTCCGGTTTCGTGTCCTTTTAAGTTTTGAGAAGGTGTTGGGATTTGGAGGGTGCTTGTGGTATTTCCCTACACCTTGCCCCTTGTACGTTGCCTGAGAGCTCTGGGTTTGGATGCCATGGATGGTACTATGATGGGTGGTGTTAGGGGTTTGGTGAGGTTGTAGATGGGTGGGGGATGGATAGATGGAGGGATGGAAGAGGGTAGATGAAGGGATGGTAGTTGGTGGTTGGTGGATTTTAGTTTTGCCTTATCTTCTTTTTAGATTGGTTTGAAAATGATACTTGTAGGTGGGTAGATTAGTCTTCTGTCTACTTTGTGGCTTGCTTGTTGTATTGTATAGTGTTACAGTATGATATATTCTTTGATACTCTGTGTTTTTATACTAATCAGTTGTTCTTACCTACTTTTACGGATTGGGATAAGATGATTGTATCTCGTTTACGCAGTATATATTCATCATACTCCTAGTTTCTAGTAAATTTCCTAACCCAAGTCCTAACTCAAAGCTATGATATTAAAGCTTAACGCCAAGACTATTCCGTACTTATACAAATCCCCTACCATACCATACCGTAGTACTAATCCCCTTTAACTTCATACCTAAAAGTCCTGAATTAACAAAAACGGCAAGGTAAGATATCCAATCACCTACCAAATACCAATTTCATACCGAAGGGCTTTCTCGATTCAGCAGTACGTGTTATACCGTACTATATAGTATTAATAAAAACTTCAGATCTGAAGACTCTCCCTCCATGGCCCTCGACGCCTCGTAGAGAGCAATTGAACCCCCCTCCCCCATCCCCCATTCAAACTATCTAAACTTACCCAAACTACTAAATGAGCGTCTAGTATTTCCAATTCAATTCAATCCATTTATCCCAAAACAACAAGAAAAGTAAGAAAGAAGAAATCGATACTGAAGAACATTCTCAACCTACCGTACCATTACAAATCCAACACCCACTCTCCACCTCTTGTCGTACGCAACTCCCAAGTATCAAAAGCAAAAATTCCCTTTCGGCGATACAGTATGTCAGTAGCTAAAATCGAAGACTTATGAGGTCCTATCTGTAAGAAAACGGCAGATGTCAAGTCAGCTTTATAATACCGGTAGTCACAAACTTAATCCGATACATCTTATGGTTCGTTCTTGTATACTATATAGTTCTCTGCTGTGCTGGATGGGTACGAGGATGATTCTACGATGTGATGGGTTGTAGTGAGGTGAATTGTGCTTTTGCCTTCAAGGTCTGGCGGGCTATCAAATTGGAGGATTGCTTGATTTCGAGTACGTACTGGGTATTACTGATAGGACGATATTTTGGTTTTTATTGATCTTTTGTGAAATTCTGTAGTAAGATCTAACATGTTGTCCAGAAGAATCGGAAAGTAAAGGTGAATTTGCAGGTAATTGTACCGCAAGACACGAGCCGTACACTCCTACCGAGCCTGCCTCCAGACTGTGTATCTGAAGTGGCGAGAATCAACAACAAGGGAATCAACATCGCAAGGGCCAACATAATTGCACTTCATTCATAGTAAAATATTATTACATTGTGCCTTTAGACTCATTTATTTGGGGTGGATTTTGAAAAAATCATTTGTCTTCATTATCATGATGAAAACATCAGCCAGCTAGCTAGGAATCCCCCATACCCGCTTGAACAAAATGACACCCCTCCCATCCATGCAAATTCCATTTCTATTGCACTTCAAGGAAATAATAAACCGTGAGAAAAAAGAAAACACAAGATTTTTTGAAGATTAGAAGTCACACCACTCTAATCCTCCTTCAAGACAGCCGCGAACGGTGTTTTTGATGCACGCGTTGGCTTACCGGCATCCAATCCCTTGGTACCGATCTTGTCCTTGGTGTAACCAGCGGCATATGGGTTCAGTCTGAGGAGAACCTGTCTGTTGTGGAGAGGGTTCTTCTTCTGGACACCAGCACGCTTGGTCTTGGCACCACCCTTTGCTGCGCGGATGACGGATTGGATTTCGGAGGAGTTGATCAGACGGCCGATATCAGCTTGTTGGACAACGTTGGACGGGAGGAGGAAGTCCTTCTTGAGTGCTGAAGGAGTAGTGGCGGAGCCGTAGATTTTGTCGAGGGCGCTGAATGCGGCAGAGGTCCAGATGATGAAACGTCCGAGATGTCCACCTGGTGCGAGTTGCAGAAGGTTAAGAGCGAAGACGGAGCAGGTCTCAACACCGGAGATGTTGCGGAAAGCAAGGGAAAGCTCCTTTCCGTCAACCTCTGGGTCGTAGACGACGAGAGGTCCACGGCGTTGTCTGTGGCGGCGACCACGTAGCTTACCCTTACCGGCACGGAGCTTTCGGGAGTTCTTGACCTTGTCGACGTCTGCGGAGGCACCAACTGACTTCAAAAGACCAACAGCGGCAGATGTCTTGCTGACACCCTTGAAGACATCAGAGTTGATTACCAGAGGAACCTCTGGAACGGTGGAGACTTGGTGACCACGGGCCATAAGGAGAGCTGGAACGGAAGAAGCAGCCAAGGCAGAGACGGTTGCGAATCGCCTGAGTTCAAATCAGTATTTTGCATATCTCAAAAAACCCATGAATACGCACTTTTGACCAAGGTTGATCTTTTGGTGCCACTTTCTCCAGACCTTGGTTGGTGCGAACATACGACCGGATCTGCACATGTTACCGAAGGCGGCTTGACCAGCACGGTGAGTTCCTCCTCCAGAAACACGGGGAATACGGGCAACGGCACGACCTGTGAAGATATAAATTAGCTTCCGCTCAACCCCTCATCGTAAAATCTCAAATCGCTCCCTCCGGCCCATTCTTTGACGTATGACCCTCCGTTCAGCTCTCAAATATTCTTTCCTTCCCCAATTTGATGTTCCACCCATGGTATTCGATGTATAAAATATTTCTTGTACATACCAGTACCCCAAGACTCAGCAGAGGTCTGGTGACCAGCCTTCTCGCTCACGGCATATGGTTGACGCTTGTTCTTTGCGACTCCGGTGTGGACGGTCTGGACGATATCTGGACGGATTGGTGCGGTGAAAACCTATTCAGAATCCTCAATCAGCCGTCAATTCCCCCAATTTCAATCTGCGCGTGCGCAACCCAAGCTCTCGAGATCGCAATCGAGGATTCGTACCTTTGGGAGAGGAATAGTCGAGNGCAGAGCCATCGGCGGACAAGACGGTAACGGTAGGTCGGGAGGCCATCTTGACGGGTTTGGTGGTGGGGGGTGTCGTGGTTGTCGAAGTTGGCGGAATTGTCGTTGATCGATCGAAATTTGTTCGCATCCAAAAGGTAAAATTCGTGGTGGGTGGTGGGCCGAAGCTTAAGCGATGCGGCCATGTCACGAGCATCTCCACGTGATCAAATTACTTAGTCGCACCTGCCCATTCCAAACGCTCCTCATAAAAGTTTGATGCTACGATCAGAATGATATATATATGAGCGGTTCTGTTCCGGTACGGAGTATGAACTCATTCATATATCTATTTTTTGATTATTGACACGCACCAATATTGTGGGGGAAAATGGCCAACACCCACAACAACAAGCTTCAGACAATCATTACGTTAGAATAAATTTCAAGTCATAGGGTTTTAAATTTGGAAACGGAAGTCACAAGAACAAAGGATGGTACACAACAGCAATTAATTTGTTTAGCTAGTAAACTTTCAAGTCAACACAATCGAGCATCATGTTGCTGTCTTCTGACTAGGTATGACAGGGCCACTTTTGAGAGTCTCTTGGCGTACGGAGGTACAGTTCACCAGATGCGATATTCTGCTATCAATACTAAGCTAATCCCATCGATCTTCATGAAGTTTTGAGGCACTGAGGACTCGCAGAAGATCTTGATCCCATTTCAAACACATAGTTGGTCTAAATTTCCGGATCTTTTCGCAACCAATCTTCATACTTAAATCTGTACCAGCAAGACACCATGCGCGATCCAACAAACTTGCAGGTGTGTAAGTGTGTAATTTAAATGCAAATTCAGGGGCCGGCTTTAGGACTTCCACAGGGGAGGTATAAGAAAGTTGTTTGCTGATTGTAAAACTTTGTTGACTTCTTTCTAGATCTACAAGACTCGACAGCCGATCTCGGGCCTGTGCAAGCCGAGCCATGGCTTGCCAACGTACTTTGGGTGCCTCCCAGTAGATAAGTAAATGGCAAAGATTCATTCTTTGACTAGTAGTGTAAGTTAATTCCAAGTACTAAAATGTTTAAAATATCTAGAACAATTACCTTCATTGTCCTATCGTTTTAGATTAATTATATTAATCAGTCCAAATAAGTTAGATAATATGATATAATATTTTTAGTTAAGTTAGGCTAAGATGAAAGAAGTCTCTGCTACTTTTCTTGTCTACTAGGAGGGTTCATAATGTATGTATAGACGCAATATACAAACACGTTCTCAGACCTCAACAACTTTCTTCTCATCAAACCCTTCAGCAGGCTTAAAATAGTATCCCCGCTGGTTGGCAACAACCCTCTTCCCATCATCCACATAATCACAATTATAATGCGTATGTCCAAACGCCAAAACCTTCACATTGCGACTCGTCCAGCATATCTCATTCGACAGATCCGTCATGAAACCAGAAGAAATCCTGCTCCCAGAATGTGCAGGATCGGAGGAACAGGGGGAGATAGTCGGACCATGATGTGTCAAAACGATGACCTTTCGATTGCTTTCGTTTTTGGAAATCGAATTGACTTGGTCATTCAACCATCGGAGATCTGCGGCATGTGCTTTACAATGGTCTTCCACAGTCCAGTCCTCGATGTGGTAGAAGTCGTTCAAGCCAAAGCTCACGTGCTCCGATTGTTCGGGTGTGATATTCGAGTACAGTGTACATCCCAAAATAGTAGTATCATCTGAGAGATCAAACCGCGTTTGGTCCAAGAAAACGAAGGAACCCAGAGTCTCACTTGTCGGACTTTCTTTCACTTCCTTCTCAAAGTCTCGGATGCAATTTTTGACTGCTGTCCAACTACTATGGTAAGGCTCATGATTCCCAGGAGCAGAAATACGATTTTGAAGAGTGAAAGTTGTTTGGTGATGAAATCGAAGAATTCTGGGTCCTTTGCGTTTCCAATGTCACCAATGAGGGCGAGATATGGTGCGCTTGGTGTGACTTCGAAGACGTCGTAGCTTTTTGGTGTCTCGAGATAGAGATCGGATATTATTTGGAACTGACGCATATTGGATTGATGGTTGGAGGTTGAAAAGAGATGAGCGTGGTGATTTGCATGCGATTGTAGACTAGGAAGGGAAGGTAGAAGCACCAGGAAGGTTGTGAGATTACTCACCAATTAGAATGCGCTTTAAAGTGGGCCCTGGGATAGTGATACCTACGAGTACAGTTCTTTTTTGATACACAGCTCCTGGTGCACCAGGTGGGTAGGAAAAACTGTGAATACTTCGCATATCTTGTATTTGGCATTGTTTCAGTGAAATAAGAAATTGTTCTGTAATACCACCTTGTTTGACTTATGGATTTTGCGCATGATAACCCAATTATTTTAGATTGGATGGGACATTGGGACAACAAAAGAATCAGCCTATTACAGCACCATTTCTCTCGCCTCTTTCTACCAAGCGAAACCAAAAAGTAAATACATATATGCATACAAAAGACAGTTGTAGAAAAGAAGGAAATGATTTCTATTCTCGCTTTTATTGATGGACTCTTAAATTCCCCCAGCAATCATGCTAAGTAAGACTTCATTGAGACCTATATCGAAGTGCTTTTACCCACCAATAATGATATTCGGGCTCCTCAACTTCCTTTACAAGATCCGGAAGATACTGCTGGACAACTTCTTGCTTTTCCAGCGTAAGATCCAAAGGTCGTCCCTCCCTACTGGCGGAGGGTTTTAGAATCCTCTTTACATTTTTGAGCTATTTATTTATGTCTACCATATCCTGGAGCTAGCCGCAAGTGGAGATCTTGAGTATCATGACGTTGGTAGCGGTAATATAAGGAAATGTACTAGGTAGTCTCGTAACGCCTGATTAAGATAGTTAGGCAAAATTCTATACACACCCAGGTTAGAAAAAGATACTACTCTAAACGTCTCGTATAATTAAATTGGTTACCTGAGCGGTTTAAGATATTTGAAATCAATACATCTTTATTAACCCAGATGGTTTGGGACAATTAACTTAATTAATCTAGGAATTCTAGTATAATAGGGTTTTATATACATGTCCAGAATTTCGCCCAATTATCTTATATGGCTTTGATGTGTATGTCATCTATTAGAATTACCAAATGTTCGCTGTAAGACTTGGTAGTTATATAAATTAGTTCATCAGAACATATCTCAAGGAGAAGATGAACTCCAAGTCCGTAAGGCCGAAGCATTTCTCGTCTCCTCCTGGTGGTAAGGGACTTCTGCGTGTATGAGAATGTGGGAGGCCGATTTAGCTCTTGGACAATGGCCATAAGACGGATCGGAAACCTGAATCGGAGAATCTCAGACCAGAAAAGGTTTCTTGTTGATTGAAGCGCAACGATAGATAACTTTGGGTTGAGGAGGTGCTCGTGGGGAATTTCCATGTTAGGGTAGGGAATCTTACATAGTTTAGGGCGTTCGCTTAGATTATGGTTTGAGGAGTAGGGGGATGTCAGTGGCCTGAAGGGTTTGTTTCTGGAGAGAAGGTGGGGGGTAGGGGGTGTATGTGATATTGTTACAGCTATATGGCAATCGTAACAAAGTCGAAGGATGTAAATATATCTGAAAAAAGCTGATAATTTCTGGAATTAGATGATATTACAAATAATGCTTTCGAAAGTATGTGGTATATAAATGAAACAAACATGTGAGTCAAATGTCAGTTATCCTTCAACTCCTTCCCCATTACCCCCTGTCCATTTCCGTTTTAACGCCCGTAGAATGCAGATATATGTAACGCCACCTTGCTCCAAATCTAACCTCCTGTATGTCCCTAATTATATGTTACAAATATGACAAAATTTCCGAGTATGCTAGCTCTCTAGGTTGAGTTTGCGGTTGTTGCGGTATGTGGGTTTGAAAGACGAAACGAAATTTGTTAAGGCAGCGTGCGCAGTATTGGTGTCGGCAGCTTTTGCTGCTATTTTGTATGTGAGAGTTTGTAGTTGTTGTGAGCCGTGGTTCAATTGGCAGGCTGTCCTCTGATCACCCAGCCTTGAATATCTGATAAACGTACCGCCCCATATCCCCATCCCCTAACTCCTATCATATCTCAGATCTATCTACCGGTTCCAACTGTCTTTCCACCCTTGAACGTTTTCTTGAACTTAGTGACATATCTCTTTAATGTTTCGATGAACTTCCTCGCCCTCAACTCCGATTTACTCGCTTTCCTGGGAGACCTGCTTGTGTTAAATGTGCTCGTTTGTGTCCCGTCATTTATAAACTTGAGATCGTATTCTGCAAGCTCAGCAGGGTGCATGCTAACAGGCCTCGATTCGAGACCACTTTCATTTTCGTAATAGGAAGAAGCAAGTCCCCGTTGCTGCATCTGGGATCCGTAAAGTGGGTTGTAAGGATCGAATGAATGAGCATAGGTTCCGTTTGCTGTCATACCCTCATCAAAGTCGATATAGCTGGACCAGTCATCACCGGCTGTGGAGACTATTGGTAGTTGGCTAGTTCCAGTCACTAGCAGATCAGGCGTCATGATTCCTGTGAGGTCGGGCATCAATGGTTGGCCGTATTGATGATCTGGGGTTGTGGGATAATTTTCGTGGGTGATAATTGGGTTAGGTTGTTGGTATGGATAAGGATTATTAAGTGCTTGATTTGAATCCAATGCCCCGATAATGTTTGGATGGGAAACAGGTTGGAAGTAACCAGAGCTGATCGAAGAAGGTGACTGTTTATTTTCGGTCATTGGGCTTCTGAACATTGAAGGACTGGCTCCAGAAGTTCGTCGCCATGTTTCAGCAGTAACGGCGCCATAAAGGGCATTGTCTGGACACTTTTGCGGATCACACTGTGGTTTATTAGCAGACTTTCTGTCCCACTTCTCATATCTGAGTTCTGAATCGTTGAAGACATACTTTGGTTCGAGCTTTCCTATGTTTCTCACATACAGACTTAGTAAGTCTGTTCCTTTTCGCACTCTCTCTTTGTGCATCAGTGAGTTTTCCTTTTCTGCCCTTTTTGATAGCAAAACTTCCTTCTGGCTTCCACACGCCAGACCCAGGCGGCCCTTGGGTGTTACCAAGTCCTGACGTTGAGTTGGGTCTCTTTGGCTGTCCGGTCGGAGAAATTTGAGGTCTGTTTCGCTCCTGGAGGGAACGTCTATGTGGTGGGTCTGAAGGCGGGGTAAGGTGATTGTTGGGTGAGTATGAGTACGATTCTTGCTCAGGCGGTTGTTGGAAATTCTGGGACCCCTGAGTCCCTATGAACCCGAGAGACCCAAGTTCTGAAGTAAAGAAGAAGAAGGGCTTTTGAACTTCTCGGCGCTCCTCTACAGCGACAGCGTGTGCGATCGCAAGTTTCTTCTTCTCCTCGAGAGACTCATTCTCGGTGAAATGGTAACTAAGGGCATTGGCAAATCCCTTGGATTCAGGAGGAGGATTGAAATGGAGGCTATTATCAGCCTTACGGGTGATTGTGAGCGCAAACCGCATTCCCTCCTCGTGGTCCATCTTGAAAATGCCCGGTCCTGGTCAAAATCCGCAGCAACCGCGTCGCTCAAATGATGTGGTATCGTATTTGATCGTCGTACTATTTGAATCGTTCGCGGTAGGGAAATCTCAGGGTGAAATAATAGTTAGGAAAGAAGGTGGCTTCAAATCCTCTTGTGGTAGAAAGTCAGGTTCGGACCCCAACTTCATTTCACGTGATCTTTTTCCCCTCTTCCACTTTTCACAGTAACGCATGTGGGAGTTCGTGGGCTTTTAAAATGAGGGTTACTCAGTTTTCTGCGAGGTGCCCGAGGCCGGCTTACATGATTTTCGTTTCGATACTTTCAAGGGTTATTTTGGGATGCGTGAGACCAATCAGCAGCTTGAATGTCAGCCCCAATGTTGGTTTTTGGTTGACCCCGGGGGGNGGGGGCAAGGCACATTTCTGCAGATGTTGGGGGCCAGGAAATCTTTTGGCGGCAACTTAAAAATTCATGAATCTCCGTGAGAAAATCAGAGACCCTGACAGATAACGGGGAGAAACTAGGCAGCCGCGTTTTTATCAAACATATAAAACAACATCCGTTCTTGCCTTCGCGAAGCAAAAATAAATAGGGGGGAGCCGAAAAGGCGGCTCTTTGGGATCCTCCCAAATGCGGAGAAATACCTGGTGCTACCTCAACCAATGGCAGCTCGAAATAGTATTGTTGCAGAGGCAATGCTAAATCCTACGCCACATCCGAGTGCTTGTACATTATGGGAACCAATAAGCAAGGAACTTTATAAGCATACAAGTAATCGATGTGCACAGAATGGATGCCAGAGCTTTCCGCGCCACGTTTACTGCAGTCATGATACTTCAAGTACCCCAAAGCCCCTCATGCAGGTGGTGTCAGAGAGGCTGGTCAGCCCTGGGCTCCTCCTTGTTCCCACAGAGTACGATGGAGGAAAAACAATTGGACCACACCAATCTCTCGTTCTTGGTAAGATACCGAGAGAACCACGTCGAACACTCCTAAGGACCCAATCTGGCAATTGGTATCTATTAATGCATGGCTGTTCGTCGTACATGTACTGGATGGAGCAACTGGTGGTCGCAGGAGTAGACCAAATGTGATAGTCTGCTGGGGAGGGCTTAACTCAGTGTTATGAGGCTGCCAAATTCCCCTGAGCGATGCAGGAAACATTGTACTCGATTATACTTTACCTGCAAATCAGTTCCACTGAATTTCTGATTTCAAAAATAACATCACCAATCTTTATACCTTCATCGTCGGATTCGTCGGATGCGTCGCTTTTGAAAGGGGTGGCAAAGCAGGAACACAACAATTCTCCGATGTCAGATGCACATTTTCGTGATTCTTGAAGGATTCCCACCCCTGCCTCTCACTCAGCCTCAAAATATCGGACACCCCAATTTGTCTTATCATAAAGCCGTTCATGCCAACGTCGGCTTTTACTAGAGAATTTCTCGGCCGTGTCATCTTTGATGGGTGTCTTAAATCTCCCAGAAGAATACACCCAGAGGAATGGACCCAAGCGGTCAAATCTAGAGAATGATTTGATTGACACCATCTTAGGACTTCTGAAGGGCACTACATCCAACAAGCAACGTGTCCAACACGTCTACGATTTTTTAAATGGGCTGAGGTTGGTTAGTGATATCTAAAAAAATATGAGGTGCGGAGTCAATCGACGTACCCAACAGATTGCCTAGTCCTCATCGCATCTTGTCATCACAACAATACAGCTCACGCGCAAGGAGACATCACAGCCATCATCACACACAAGAACCCCATCGACAAAAGAATCATGCTTCATTTCTGCGCTTTCACTCATTTTATTAACGACCCCTCATGAATATCATATCATCACGGCCCGTGGCCAAGAAAAGCAAGCAAACTCCCACCGCAAACGCAACCACACCACACCGCAAAGCCAATGCCCGAGCCCAATATTCCCGAAAAGACTGCAGAAGAAACAAACGCCGACGCTAAAACAAAAAAAAGGGCATCAAAGAAGCCAGAATAGCCATAGAGAAAACCCTCATCCCGAAGTATTATAGCAAAATAAATGAGGGCTTTTTCCCGGTATCAGTACAATACATATCTGCCACCACCATATCTACCAACTCCCCCTTCCAACCTCGGTGTCACCACCAATCACAAGTAAGGCATAAACAATGCTTCGCATTGAGCCAGATTTATGGGATTCACCGCCTTGGCGATCAAATCAATCACTGTCTGGTTAGCCGGGAGAGCACCAGCAGGCGATTGCGCAAGACTCAAAGTTCTCTTGACGATGAGCTCACTATTCGTTGTGACCGTATCTCTCAATTGACCTTCTTCCATCTGCGCCGTTCTATGGTTGTTCGTGAACCAATGAATCATTTCATCTCGAACAAACAGGCTTAACTGCTGTTCGAGTTCAAAATCAGGCTCTGTGAGGCAGCGCGCAATGGCCATGATAGCGCAACTATAGATTCCCTCGGTCGCTAAAGGTCCCATGAGCGTCTGGAGATTTGGCGTGAGACGGAAAGGAACCGGTTCAGGGTTGTGGAAGAAGGCTTTGTTGGCTGTCATACATGACATCAATTCTGAGCCCCAGACATTTCCTGTTCCTCGGGCGATGTTGAGTTTTTGAGGATATCGGTTGTGCATATGTAAGACATAGGTCATGAATGTAAGAGACGCAAACTGGTAGGAAAATTGACGTCGGAAAAGCCAGAAGTCGGGATACGTAGGATATATCTTGGTGAAGTACTCCAAGGCCAGGTTGTGTGGGGCCCATTTTTCTTGAATTGCGGCAAATGTCTCCAACTTCGCAGTGGTTGATTGTTGATCAGCGGGGTGTTTCTGGAGTCGTGTTAGTGGAAATCCGATGCTAGTGTTATGTAGACCTACCTTGCTTTCTGACAATGCTCTCATCTTTTCCATGGTAAATAGCACTGGATCATCCTTTGACATCCCACTCTTTCTGCAATAGTCCTCAAAAATGCCCTGAAGAGAGACGTATGTAGGGTCATCTTGAACCATACGAATATGAGGTGCGAGAGGAACCATGAGCGGAAGATGAAAATTAAGATTGCGTCTTCGACTCTCCTTTCGCTTGCTAAGGCTATCATTGAAGTGTCTGAACAGTTGCAATATCCGCTCCTCGCGTCTGCAATGGCGAGCTGCTGGATGTTGTACAGCGAAAGGATGAATACTGCCATCGTGTCCTCGAATCTTGAGCCGACGATGACAGACGCCGATACCGCGGACCAGATCCACGTTTGGCAAGAAGCGTTCAACACGAATGAAATCCTGGTTCTTGTCTTTGTGCTGCAAGTATTGACCTGGAACTTCCACCTCATCGAACTTTTGGAAACGGAACTCGCTAAGGTGGGGACTGAACCCTTCCAATTTGGCATTGGAATTTCGTCGGTCGAGCTTTGCCTCAAACTTATCCCGCCATTTCCGCAGCTTGTGAATATATTCATACATTGTAGGCATCTTTCGAACAAAGTCCACCTCGAATGACGTGCGGATATGAGCTGGCAGAATTGTTTCAGCAAATCTGGTAATATTAGCTTCAGTTGCCGAGGGCAATTTGACATCCTGGGCAAATGAAGCAGAGTTTCTGCCAACATGAGACAGTGCATCGTTGAGCAAAGCTGTGATCAACCTATAGGCGTCCTCATCAGGAGAGCACTTGAAATGCTTGGAAATCTGGTCCACCATCGATTCCATTGAAAGTGCCAGTAAAGGAAATGCGGTCTTGAGCGTCGAAAGGATTGATTCGGTATGCTCCCACGGATGTCGAGCCTTTGGTGGCTTGGAGGAGTCTCCATCCGCATCACCGTTGACTGCAGGTTTCTTCTCGGTGGGCTCAGCCTTGATGGAATTGCTGCCATCAGGATTTCCAGTTCCAGGTCTGGATCCAGTAGCACTTTGTGGCCGAGCGGCTGGAGTCTCAGGTCGCTGAACACTTGGTGAACCATTTGGCTTTTGAGCTCCGTCATTCGCACTGCTGGCGTTTCCTCTTGCCGCCTGAGCAGCTCTCATTCTCATCATTCGCTCTCTCTGCGCCTCACGTGACTCTACCGACTTCTTGATGGCAAGCATATCTTCGCGGCTCGTACGTAGTTGGAAGTAGAGTGCCTGTGGGTATGATTTGGCAATCTTGGCTAAGATACCATGAGCTTTGGTTGCTTCCTTGTGACCGAGACCGGTTAAGAGCTGAGGAATAAAGGTAATCCAGTACCACACAGGTGTTTCACCCCTATATTCGTCGAATTGTACAGAAAGCGTACCTTCTGCATCGTCAAGACTCAAGAGCCAGAGGATGCGAGTCAGCAACTTTCTTGATTTGGCATTCTTGAACAAACCAGCCGCTTCGAGATAGCAGCTTAGGGCATTCTTAGCGTAAGAATAATTGGTGGGATTCTCCTTGAACAGACGATCATTGTAGTATCCCCATTCAGCCCAAGCCTTTGGTAATTTGATATCAAAGAACAGTGCCATACCATATGCCTCAGCAGCTTCGTCACGTTGGCCAAGTTTCTCCAAGAACATGCCCTTGAGCGTGTAGAACTCTGCCTTCTGATTGGGCCCAAAGTAATTGAGATTGGTATTGTTGATGACGTCCAGTCCATTACTTAACTCGCTAGGGTTTTGGTAATGGCACTTTGCCTGTTCCCGAAGCTTCAGGAAGGCTTCCTGGATTTCAATGTTGGGCAAGGTATAAATCCTGCTGAGCTGACTGATGCAAACTTCGGGAAGCTGATGTTTGCGTGCGACATGTGCGAAACGATTGATAATCCATGCAGTCTCGTGATATCCTCGGTAGGCGAAGGAAGCTCCGTTAGCGTTTTGTCCTTGTTGGGGAAGCAGGCCTAGGTATGTGGTATTGATAAGACCAAAGATGTGCTGTCTCCATGTAACCAGATCTTGCCAAGCAGTAATATCATCCCACACATTTGGCAGTCTGTCTCGCCAAGTCCCAAGAAGAAGCTTCAATTCACCAGATTTGACATCAAGGTTAGTCCGTTCCGTTTGAGCCAGGCTTTGACATATAACACTAGCGTCATGCAGCTCGACCAATTGCTGGAAGTTTTGTAAGAGTGGAATATGGGCGTTGGTAATCCCTTTTGGAAGCTGGTGCCATTTTCGGATTGAAAGCTGTATCGCCTCGTCGCAAACCTTGCTGAATTCCGCAGGTGTCTCGGTCTTGTTGTGCAATTTGAGCAGAGACATGAAGGCCTGGAAGAAAGTTCGTCTTGGAGTAGGAGCGTCCATCACACCCTTGATCAAATTATCTAAAGAGTCGCGATTTTCCTGGGTCTGCCACATGTCTGTTTGCTTCCAAGCGCATTCAAGAAGCAAATCCTGGAAATTTTCGTGCTTCGCAAAATCCTGAAGAATTTCCCATTGCTGAAGCTTTTGTGCGCAAAGAACCCAGTGATCTTCCCAGAGCATGTATTCGCCCTGTGAAAAGGGGATGGCACCGGTGCGAGCCTTGATCTGCGCAGCCTCGTACATGTGCTGAGCTTTATCCCACATACCATTCTGCTCGTAAGAGAGCGCGGCATTTGTCTCCACAAACTGACATCGCCGACGCCACGTACCGTAAAAGAGATCGTCTTCTTGTAAGCCAGAATACAGCTCTACCAAAGCGTCCAAATTACTCTCTCGAACCAATGCACTATCAACCTCGGGCTTGATCGCGGCGTTTTCGAGTTGAACAAGTGCAGTGTACCAGGCGTCATAAGTTCGGGCTTCGAATTTGAGAACATGAGGTGGAATGTGACATTCCGGCCATGACTTGGCAGCACCTTCGAGAAGTGACTGGACAACATTAGGTCGCTTATCCACTTGGCGAGAGTGGTGGTCTTTGGTAAGTAAGGCAACCATTCCACGCTCTAATTCGTTTCGCTCGTCCCTGGGTGTAGCTGACCAGAATATGGGGAAAAGTGCAACCCATATTTGATGTGCTATCTTGGGGTCTAAATGCTGCAACTGACTCAGTGGGTCAATGATGTCGCGAACTTTGACATCAGATAGCTCAGCAAGAAATCTCTTGTGGCCAAGCATCAGACTATCGTACTTTGGATCCGGTGAAATTGTGGTGGGCCGAGAATCGTTGAAATATGTCGAAAAGGTCGTTGAAGCAGGAATGACGCGGAAATCCTCCGAATGCAATTGAGCTGGTGTGTTGGTATCCACAGCCCCGAGAAGCAGCTGTGAAGCTTGCGCTAGCCAGTACGACTCTGCGAGAGTATCCCAGTTTTGCGAGGTGATGACATAGCTTAATCTTACACTAGCAGTCTTCGACTGACTTTTGTCAAAAATTGCCATGAAGCGATTTCGCATGTCGACATCTTGTGCTCGAGTACCGATGAGGAATGCATGTTCCATACGAACGGTGAGTTCTGTACGAGCGATTTTGGGATCCTCATACAACCGAATAACCAAGTCCAAGAACTTGATCAGAAGCGTTTGATCAGTTCGATTTTCGAAAGTCAGCATCTTGTGCAAAACAGCTGTCTTCTCTTTCAACGTAGGCCATGAACCTTCCGACTTAAAGACCCACGTTTCTACCATGTCGAGAATCTTGAGGCATAAAGGATTACTAAGCGACTTTTCCACGAGAGTAGCAAGCACGCTCAAGAAAGGTCGCCGGTGGTCTCCAAGAATATCCATTCGCATTGAGATCACATCGATTGCCTTGATCATAAGTCCAGTCTGGATTTGTAAATCGTAGGAGTCCAACACACCCGCAACTTCAACCTCCCCTGGTCTAGGAGGAGAGATGATGCCGGACTGTCCAGTGACCGCGTTGTAATGCGCAACATGCTCTCTAGCAAGCTTCGACTGTAGAGCTTTCATGACATGTTGAATGTGCTGGTCCATTTCTGAAGGCTTTCGCTGTGCCAGAGTCCACAAGATGTTAATGCCTGCGACATAATTGTTGTTCGACAACAATTCGGTGGCTGTATTGGTTAGAAATGTAATTATCTCCGAAGTTGATGCTTCCACTTCCCCTTCTGCGTCTGCATCCTCCATTGGCACATCATCAGGCACAGCATCCAGTATTCGCTTCAGAAGTGGCTTCAGCATTCTTCCTTCGTCAATCTTGTCGTCCGCAGCATTCAAGCAGTCCTGGATCTCCGGGTTGTCCGACTTTAGACATTTCTCAAGGATGCGCTGAAGAGAACTCATGTTTGCCAAGACCCATTCGTCGGATTTGATGTTGACGATTATTCGTACTATTTGAAGGGTGTTTATGATATTGGTGATAAACTTTTCATCAGGCTTGTCCTTCTCTGAGTGCTCGCTTGCGAGAGCGGTGACTGTTCTCTCGCTAGCCAGAACCTGGTCGGTGACGATGGGAAACAAGTCCACACCAGCTTCTCCCCAATATTGTGGCTGGAGAAGGTTGTAAAGAAGAGAAATGGCCTTTTTGCACATTTCTACAGAAGCGGGCGGTTGCATTGGTGCATGTGTTGCTGCAGGATCCTTGCTTCTGGCGGATGGAAGAGGGTATCTCTCGCTGAGAGAAGCAATAAACTCAACAAGATACTTGATCATCTTCATCTGAAAAACCGGGGGAATTCTAAATTCAGGTCTATCTGCTCCACCACCAGAAGAGCCGGGCTTGGCTGGTAAGGGCGAAGAGCCTTGGTCAATGAAAGCATCAAGTTTACGTTTCTTCGCATTAGGAGACTCGGAAAAGGCTCGGGCTGGCGATGCAAGTTTTCCCTCAACACGTCGCTGCTCCCATTGCCATATCATAGTCATCAGGTTGAGTACCAATTTCTTGCTCTCATTGGATGGATTTGGAGGCGGGGCGACCTTGCGCAGATTGCTTATAATGAGATTGACGAACTTTTCTCGTGAGTCGTAGAAAAGATCTGGATGTTTGACAAGGAAGTGAAAGATACTTGTCATCTGTTGTGCGTTTTGACCATCTTCAGATAGGATTCGGCGGGGTGCTGCAGCCCAGACTGGATTGCGGTCTCCAGGTGCGAAATTAGTTCTCTTAGGTAAGACCGGAGCAATCAGCTCTAAAGCCTGTGTGACAAGTGTCCGACCTTCGTTCTGGTTGGTCTTTAGAAGGGAGAAATAAACTTGCTGTACAATTTTCGCCGGCGTTTCGTAATGGGCAATGAAGTAGCCAATAACCACATATGCAGCATGCTTGTTGATGACATCTTCGAGTCGAATGTATGTCCAACCGAATTTTATGATGTCCTTCCGAGCATCCTGCAAGATCGCATGATGATATTTGACAAGCATCGCTGTCAACTGGAGAACTTCCATTCGTGTATGGTCAATACCAGGCTGTATTAAATCCTCGTTCGAGTCTCCAGCACTGACTTTCCAGATCTTAGTGTGGATCGACTCGATGACAGATTTGTCCATTAGTCTGGGATCTCTTGGGGAGGTTGAGTTTGGATTGCGCATGATGTCCATCGCTATTATAGGATTCACGATGTTATGAACCAAGAAAGCTTTGGTTTTTTGTGTAGCACTCTTGCCCGAATACATCTCCAAACTTCGCATAACCACAAGTTTCCAGTATTCGACTGACTCGTTACAGATGATGTGCTTGTAGATATAATCGAATAGTGTCTGGCTGGCTTTGAAGTCTTCGGCCGTCACAGATTCGATCAGAGCAAATAACGCATCGAGATCCTTGGGGTGATAGACCAGGAATTTTGTGAGTATGGTCATCAGCTGTTCGCCAGCTTGCTCAGCTGCGAGGCGAAGCCCTGGTGGCAGGGTATTGGTGCGTAGATGTAGTTCTAGGTTCTTGCCCACGAGTTTCAACCAGGTAATGTTATGCTTCTCCTCCATCCATGACTTGGTCCCCTCAAACTTGCAAATGGAATGCATGATATTGATGGCATTAATGACTGCAGCGTAACGGGTCTCTTTATTCTCAGCACCCATGTCACCTGAGTATTTAATAAGGGTCTCTACTCCGTTCACAACAGCATCACGGAGTGGTCCACTTTGAGGATCTTCCAGAACTTGAGCTAAGAATCGGCCATACTTTTGATCCTCAATCTTGTGAAGAAGGAACATCCAGACCTCCTTGGGATATCGATTGAGGTATTTGTAAAGCGGTTCTCGGAAGGGACTATTGCATGTTCGACGAAGCTTTTCCTCCAAATCCATGACCGTTAGAATGAGTCTCTCCTTGAAGTTCTCTGCAGCAGGAGGGAGAAGATGGAAGATGTTGAAGACCGATGCGATGATCTTCATGGCCTCGTTCTGCTCAATCAGGGTAAAAGATATACGCTGGAGCATGTTTGGCTCAGCCAGTACCTTGATGTGATCGAGGAGACGTGAGCCAATTTCCACTTTGAAGTACGTCGTGAGTAGTTGTAAAAGACGTGCCAGTCCATCCAGGCCATGAACAGTCAGTCGCCGAGGGTCTTGGAGATTTGCCAGCACAGGGCGGAGGCCGTTCTGGAGGAGGTCTTTCGGAAGTTTTGTTGTTTGGGAAAGAACAACCTTCAGTGCATCATTCGACGCTTCGATGGTTTGTTTGGACTCAGAATACAGGGACTTGAAAAATACTGACACAATTTTGGTCCGGGTAGGGTTTGTAGGGCCTTTTTGGAATTCTTCGAAGCCCATTGCTGTAGTCAGCATTTTGATGCAGGCAACACGAAGACTAACGATAGACTCTTGTGTTCTCTGCTCCGATGGCTTCCCAGCCAATGATTCGTCCGCGGCATCGGCCAGGGCTAAGGTTTCCATAAGCAAACGATTGAGTTGGTCATCAAAACCAATAAAATCACTCTTGAGACCCATATAGTAATTTACTGCATCAATGAATCCAATCTGCACGCCAAAGGGCAGAGCTCTTAATGGTTTGGCGTAGATAGGGCTTAAACAATGCTCTTTTGAGGTCTCAAGCAATTCATAGATCTCCACACCTAGTTCCTTTGCGATGATGCTAAGAGCTTGTTTCGATGCTTCCCGGACGTGTTTATTCATGTGAGAAACTTCCTTGTTCAAGATGGCACAAAGTTGAAGAAGCTTAGAGGTCTTGACCTGCTGCTGTTGACCCGGTGGCGGAGGTGGTGGCACTACGAGGTCTGCTTTGGAAGCGTTCTTCATACTTCGGCGCAGAAGGATTTCAAGAGTATCTTGCGCGCTTCTTCGAGTCTTTGCAGGAAGATCTGGGGGCATATCCTTGATGATGTACAAAAGCGCCTTCACGAAATTAATCTGGCGCTCTTGAATCCATGCATCGCCCATATGAAATTTGGTAATCATGAGATTGATACCGAGCCCACCTCCAGCCTTGGTGAACCATTCCTCTTCGTAACATGCATGGCAGAAAACAATGCTAAGGTGGCTAAAGAACGAGAGTCGATGAACTTCTGCAGCGGATCCAAAAATAACTGCAGTTGAGTCATAGATTTCTTGAATCCCGAGCTGAGCAGCTTCTCGTACAGCTGGAATATCAGAAGACAAAGATTCTACGAGGGCATCTCCAAATACTTCCGCATCAATCCACAAAGCTCCCTCGCCTGCTTTGACGTCGAAGGGCTGCGTCGATCGTCTCATTTCGATAAAAGACTGACCCACGGCAAGCAACGTGAAATGTTTGGCCAAGTTTATCACTAGTGTCGTTGCTTCGGCGGAGAACTCTGGCAGAGAGACTGCGAATATGCAAGCTTTGATGAGCTTTTTCAGTACCGTATTTTGTTCATCCTTCTTGAAGACTGAACGCTCCCGATCAGAAGACTCGATGCTGGAGTCCTGATCATATCGTTTAGCCAAAAGATCTTGAGCTTGCAAACGAACGATTCTAGCAAAATCCTCTGGTAAATTATCGGTTCCCATGCGCAATTTCAGTTGGGCTTTGATTAACGTGAGAGCTTGTCGCTTGTAATAGGCATCGGTCTTCTTGGCAGCTCCTTTAGGAATCTCCGTCAATTTTCCAATGGCCAGGTCGATACCAATCTCTGCCGGGAATGCTCGATCCTTCTTAGAACCAATCAGCTTAAGATCAATGCTTGTCAGGTCGTCTGAATATTGTTGGAATGAGAGGACTGGTGCGTTGGTCATGAATTTGCGATTACGACCACCAAGCTTTCCAAGAATGCGCATCGTTGTATGAGCAAAAAAGTGACTATATGGTGCCGGTCGAAGGTGGTCAAACAACGCAGTCATCAATTCATCAATAACAGGAGCCATGATCGGGTCCAAATAATCGGCTGTTAAGTTATCAACACAGAGTTCAAGGGTTCGCAGTCCTTGTCCGACGAGATCAGAACCGGGTCGAAGAGCAACCACCAGAGGACGCATAAGATAGCTCAGATGTGGGAGCAAATTACTTAGACGAGCGGGTACCGTGAGACAGAGCTCAACATACAGATCGCGGTCTGCTGGCTTCCGAGCAGCCATGAGCAAGTTGTTCAGAACTTCCAGAAGCATTTCCAGGAGAGGAAGGATCTGTTTGTATAGGTGTTCAAATTTTCCACCACCGATACTTCGGAACAAAGATCTGAGTAGGAGGAAATAGTTCATGGGTTCTTCAGCTGTGGTTGACAATTCAATAGACTTGGTGACAATGTCGAGGACATGTGGCAAGAGGACTTGTTCATTCTGATTTGAAAATAGTGTAACAGCCATGAAAGCCAGTTTGAAGAGTCGAAGAAGAATTGAAGACTTCTTTACATCGGCCGTTCCAACCTGGTCAATGCGGTCCATCAAGAATCGCAGAAGCATTCCTGCGAAACTGGGAGATGTTGCTTCACTTGCTAGGAAGAACTGTGGCACGTGAAGTAGGGCTGTATGTTCAAAAATCATATCGTAGAGCTTCGGAATTTCTGCGTGGAACACCTCGTGGAAAGTCGCCGGGTCAATGCAATGAAAAACGGTAGCAAAAGTCTCCAGTAAATCCTTCTCTTCTTTGCTGCTTGAAATCATGTAGTGGTTTGCCATGAATTCAACAGGCGAAGTGTAAGAGGATTCGGAGGAAGGCTTCTCAATATCGTAGTATCGAAAGACATATGCTCCTTCACGGAAAAGCTTGATGATGACCTGGACTTCCTCTGCTGAGAACCCGTATGATACTTCTTGCCAATGGGCAGGCGCATTGTTTGCATCAATCGGAGCGCCAACGTTGCAAGCCTTAAGTTGGTAGAATGTATTTTTGAGACCATTCATCAAATTTTTGAAGAGAAACTTGTTGTCAGCTACAGGATCAAGTCCGCGGTCTCGGGGATTTGACGTCTTAATAGGCATGGCTGTAAAAATATCAATTTCGTCCCAGTCTGGGGGCTGATCTCTATCGGCAAGATAGTTGTCAGGGGCCGCATCGATTGATTGCTGAGCACTCAATTTTGAGAGTTTGACAGCATTTGGGTATTGTCGATTCATTGCTGCAAATTTGTCCCCGATCGCATTCAGAATCATGATCAAATAATGCCGAGCATCCGCCTTGTTCTGCATCTTGGAGATACACTCGGCCATGTTCAGGAGTAATTTGGCGCTCATCGTCTGGAAGCTAGTACCAGGGAAGCTGTCCTGCAGATTCTTCGTATAGACCTCGACGGTCTTTCGAATCTGCTCAGGTTCCAGAGCATCGCGAACGTGGTGTATCAAATCCGCAAGCATGCTGTATGCAAGAGGTCGCATCGTCTCATAAACCGTCAGCCCGTCACCAATTAAAGTTCTCTCATCCAGAAGCTCGTCAATCTTTGACACAAAAATCTTTCGGAAATTGAAATTGATAATATGTCGAATCGCAACAAGTAGTTCCTTTCTTGCGCCCGACTTTTCTCTCGGACAATCCTTCAGCAGCCGGACGATGATATTCGGAAGAGTGGGTAGAAAATCATTTAGCTGCTGGGAATAAACGCGCAAGAGGTAGGCGAGAAAGCTCATCGTTTTCACTTGAGCTGTAATGAATTCGCCAAATGCAGCTCTATTCCGGATTTTTGAACTGACGCCTGTGAATATTGTGCCTTTCGCTGCAGCTTCCTTGTGCGCCTGTTCCTGTGGTTCAGCTTGCAGTAATAGTACGGTCTTGATGAGTGGGACGAAGAGTTTCACATTGGGCCCAACCGTACTGCGGTACACTTGGAATATGGAAACAACTATGATCGGGCATTCCGCAAGGACCTTGAATGACTGCATTCCCTTCAACAATGGTCTGGTCTGTTGCTGGGGATCGGCACCCAGTTCTGGAACAGAGGCTACTGGCGACCCTGGTCGTGGAGAATTATGGAAGTTCTGCGAGTTTCCTGGCGTAGATGGCATGCCGCTTGTGGTATTGTTGTTGAGTTGGTCCCGTACCACAGATTCCATCTGGTCGAATAAATCCTGGATGAGGGTAAGGAAAGGCTGGACTTTGTCTTGCAACACCTTCGTTTGGTGTCGCATGATATCCATAATAGTTTTGACACAAAGCGACGCATTCTCCTCGTTGTCGCATTTGACCAAGTTCATCAACACATCAACCACATCCTCGGCATACGGTTCGAAGGCTTCTGGAGGATTTGTAGGCAGACGATGGAGAATCTCGAGGACACAATTTCGCAGTTTCTAAAGATGATTAGTACTAGCACAATATAACTGAACAGTAAAACTGACTTGTTCCACAGATGTGCTAACAAACACTGGAGGTCCCTTTAGGCAGTTAATGAAGATGGGTATCAGTTTCTTCAAGAAGGCCGGGTATTGCTGAGGTGTAATGTAGTGTTCGAGGTTATCCTTCAGCGTGGTTGCCGCATCGAATCTGGTCTTTACATCTAAATAAAGAGTCAGCTTCCATTCTCTCCAGATAGCTACAGCCTTGGGATCATGCTATTAAGCTATTGCAGAGAGCCCTACCAGATTCGGGAGAACCTAACCGCTGCACAAGCAGCTCTGGTGTGGCTGCAGACATGGCTGCGACATTCGCAATGGCGCAAGCCCTCAGTTGAATAACTTCATGCGACAATTGATTGGAGTTGTTCGGGACTGGGAAGAGGTGCGCGTAGCTGGGATCGTGGATTCGGCGCAGGAACCTTTGGTATTTTGGCCCTCAAGAATTTGAAATGGGTATCAAAATTATCGCAAATAGTCCTAGATGGTCAAGGAAGTTCGCAGATGATCGTGAAGACAAATAAAGGAGGCTTTTGGAGTGGAATTCGTGGGATGTTGTAGATGGACTTCTGCGCTTCTGCTCAGGAACATGGCTCTGGAATCGCGCTTTCCAAAAGCTGGGGGGGTCGCTCCTACTGGAAATCTCAAAGTCACGTGAGTGGTACTTTACCCGACGTTCTACCTTAGATCACTTGGCCCCGCTCAGGTCCACTTTAAACGCCGCTCCCGTCTTTCTGACAGGGATTCTCTTCTCCATGGAATCAACACTGATATCATCTTCTGTCAATTCACTTTTGTAACCTTTGGAACTTCCTACCACTTCCACAACTTCTGCCATTCGTCAGGTGTCCACAACTGAAACTTGAACTTCAAGCGATAGAAGTGTCACTGAAACTCGTAGTCTTACGACTCACTTACATACTAATTTCACTAACAACGTGTTTTAGCACATAAAAAAGCTTTCGGCTCCCGCTCTTCTATGAAGGTTAACCAATCGAGTTTTACTCACTTACTTCTTTTGAGTGCATTTACCTAAGGGTTTTATGTTCCAATTTTCATTCCCAATTGATATGCTTCTTTTTGCATTACAAACACAATAGAAAACATAATCAACACGTCTTCCTAAAGGAAGGACTCAGTCAAGAATCACAAAGGATCCTTTGCAAACTTGAAATTTGCAGGCTTCTTTTAAGAAGATGTTCTTCTGGAAGTCTTCAAGAAATTTCATTGGATGTTCTAGGATATTCGATATTCCCTCTACAGGTAGCATTTATCTTCAAAATTGGGAAAATGAGAAGAAAGCCTATAATAGACACGTGACCAAAAGCCTCGAGAAGGAGGTTCACATAGAAAGTCAAGACTCTAATAATTCCCTCCTAGCAGAAAACAAACCCCCGAAATTAGGTCCTAGTGCGATATTAGGCTTGGCAATTTGCTATAAAGATGGAAAAAGTCTTGGTATTCAAGTAGTAAACCTCAGTACCGTTTGTCGTATGCTTGAATATGAGGGAATAACAGTTTGCCTATTCCCTACTTTCACATCAGAAGTAAGACATGTAAGAGCTTAATTTCAGGTACCCACAATCCCAAAAATCAAGGTATCAAACATATAACACACAATATTTGTGGGTGAATACTCTTCATTTTTGCTCTAGACATAGCGGATCAACTCCATACTCGTACTTTCCCCCTAAACATGATACCCCTTGGATTCCTGTTTGTCGAACCCCTACCAGAAGAACTTTGCATGAACCTACTTCTTCATACCTTGGTCCAAGCCTCCAACCCCATTTTCTTCCGCATATCCACCTCCCCCGCCTCCAACTTGCTCCTTCGCACCTTGTTGATAACCAGAACTACCATCAACGCCTTTCTCAGAACCATCCAACTCACTCAGAGTTCCACTGTATCCCTGTAACTCCATACTCTCACACAACAGCGAATTCTCCGGTCTCGGCGCGTTTCCTGATCTTGCTGTATCCACCGTACCAGCAAGAGGTCTCTCATCAGGTTGCGAAATGGCGGTTGGTGTCATATAAACTGTTTCACCGTGAAAACCACGTGTGATGGCTGCAGCTGTTGGTGGAGTACCTAGCTGGCGATTTGGAAATGCGGGATCGTTTGGGTTTCCGAAGGGTCGGGATAATGGGACGGTTTCGCGGGGTGGATGGGATGAGTGTTGTTGACTTGGTGGTTGGGGCCAGAAACCTGGATAGTTGGGTTGGTCATCTTGGTGGTCTTTGGTATTTGGTTGGTTATTGGGTTTTGACATTATGGGTTTGAGAGGTAAGAGGTAGTTCTTGGTATAAGGAATGGTGCTCTTGGTTTATGTGAAGGGTTGTTGATGCTGGAGGTGTTGTTTTGATGATGAGGAATTTGGTAAATGTCGAGGTGGGGATTGCAAAGGATGCTAGTTAAATCCTTTTACTAACGGAAGCTTTTAGTATAATGAGTGAATATTGTAGTAGGAAAAAAGGGTCTGACAGAATAGCAAGTGAATATAGAATACGTAAAGTGAAGCTGAACTACAGAGATACAGATGAACCCCCGCGGGTTTGTACGCCAAAAGTTTCAAATTATCTGAGTACATGGTGAATAATATACGATTTTGAGCTCATGTTTTCTTACATGTAGAATCCTAAGCGTATAATTCTACTCATGGAATGCGCAAGGTCTAAGCTCTTTGGAGGGAAAGCATCCTCGCTTAATCGTTCAGAGCTCTCAAGGAATATAAGAGTCCTAATCACTGATATCTGTACCATATATGCGCAAGAGCCATTCCAAATATGCAATTCCAGCTGACTCAAGCAACAAACGGTTGCATAGTAGAGGTAACGCCATTGCTCGTTATTCCATTGTCCTACTCACCCTACCCAATTGAGAGTACCAAACATAGGTACCCCTTCAAAAAGATGACCGAAACCACACGAGCCACAATTTTACAAAAAAGCAGATAGTACAAAAGAAGAAAACGGGCGCTACCCGGGTTCGAACCGGGGACCTCTCGCAAGATGGAACATAGGGTTAGCCCTAAGCGAGAATCATACCACTAGACCATAGAACCTTTCTATACAGTTTTCTGGTATGAGTGAGGAAGATCTTACTTGTGTATGTGAATGCACATGTGTTGCGGGGTTTGGTGGAAGTTCGGTAAAATAGCTTCCTTATTATCGGTATAATCTTGGAAGGAAGGAGCGTCCTTGCCTTCACTTTGTACAGTACGAGTCTTGGCATATGTACCTCGGAAAGGACGATACAAGAGAGCATTCTTGCCCTTATCTTCTAATAACCAAGGCCGTAAGAACTTCCGGAAAACTTAGATAGTACTGCGTTCAGAATGCTCCAGAAGTTGGAGAGACTACACATTCTCTGGGTTAGAACACCAAAGTCCCACTTATTAGCATACTTTGTTTCGACTCTTGGTAACACAACGATCCTTGGAATTCAAAAGTCTCTCTTTGTATATATCTTTAATCTCACCTTCCACCTAATACTCTCATCTCGACCGGAATCATTTTCCTCCACTTATTTCATACTGAATTAAGGAGAGCTTAGAGGTCTACCTCCTTCATAACCGTCTCGAGCAATGTTGTTACTACCAGCGTCGTCGGAATACTCATTTGAGTTTCTCCCTTATTCTTGCTCCTCTGACCTGATTCTCTTGTGGTAGAGTATGTTGACTCATATTGGCTCGCTTAATTCCAACCTGGATCCTCACTTGCATACCTCTAGCTTGCATCCTACCATAAAGTATTATAATCCAGTTTCTCACAATAAGAAGATATTAAAGCAACGATCTATTAGGTCCGATGTCTAAAGGTATAAAGTCTATAGTGTCCTGAAAATCCCACCCAGTTAAGCGAACCATTTATTATCTCCCACGACCCCTTCCACGACCTCTTCCCCTACCACCTCCAACAACATGTCCCCGACTACCTCCTCGGCCACCTCCGCGCCATCCAGATTGACCGCCTCTAGGCCCTCTTGATGGACCCCTAGATGGCCCTCTAGACGGTCCTTTAGATGCGGCCCTAGCCGGTCCTCGACTTTGGGATCGGGTCCGTGAACCAGCTCTACTTTGCGGACGGGAACGAGGTGCAGAGCCGGGTGTAGGAGGGCGACTTGGTGCGCGACTACGGCTTTGTGAACGACCGTGGGGGGCTTGGCCTGGTGTGGCAGCTCGACCTTGCGTACGACTACGGCTTTGTGAACGAGGTGCAGGGCCTGGTGTAGGAGCTTGACTGTTCGCGCGACCACGGCTCTGTGAACGTGGTGCAGGGCCTGGCATGGGAGAGCGTTTTGGGGTAGTTCTACTTTGCTCAAAGGTCTTCTTGTACTGAGCATTGGGATCAACCCATGGGATCGGTTCTCTATTGTACTTCTCCTGTGCCATCGGGTCATATCGGGGTTCCATGTGTATTGACGGAAGCTGCGGTGTTGTAACCGTTGAATCATAGGCCTTTGGGTTTCGTTGTATGTCCCTATCCTCTATCTCATCGAAGCTGATAGGCTTTCTTTTGGGATTCTTGCCTGTGGCAGGATGCTCATACCTGAGGTGTGGGTGAGGATTGTTGCCTGACATGGTTGCGTTTGCTTGGTGCGGGTTGTGGTGTTATCTGTATTTGCGTATTAGATTTTGTAGTTTGTTTGGAAAGAAAAAGAGAAGGTTAAGAGCCAGAAAGCTCTCGCTTAAATAAGGGAGGCCAGGTACGGTTCTGAATAACGCTGTCTACATATTCTACCAAGTCAAGCAGTTAATTTATTGAATCATCAGGCTTACTGAATGCAATAGCGAAATGGAATCAAAACAAATGAACAGGTTACCGTTTTTCATGTCCGCTTTCCAGGTCCTGTCAATATGTTATTGATTAGGTGCGTCTGTGATGATAGTGCTATGATTGTTAACACGCTTCTCTAACATCATAAGATACAAAAGGATAATCCCATGCTATGCTAGAGCCAGCGGACACTGTAATTCTATAGTGTCTCGCTTGATTCGGTACTTTCTCGCGTAACACCAGGTACTAAGAAGAAGATAATTCACTGTGTCCATCCTATCAATCTAGTATTTTCAGGTCTCCTCTGATTCACCTGTGACCTCAGAGACCACGTCCTTGGTATATATCAGACGATTTTCGCTGAATGAAGAGAGGTTCAGATCAAGTCATGGTTCACTAGTACTGATCTCGCTGGTCACAGAAAAATGGCTGGATGTCAGTCTATTGAATGCTAAAAACTTAGACCATGCTCTGAATAACTCGGTGTTCTTTTGTGTAACACAAAACTGTCTTGATAATACTAATGAATCCTAGAGAGGAAAAAACACCATTGGAATTTGAGGTCCATTTGTTATTGGTTTAGGAAGCCGTGACAAGCTTTGATCCCCTGATGGGAAGAACCGTGTCCATTCTAAGCGAGCCACCAGAATTGCCGTGTAGGGGCTTGCTATGATACTTATGCAGTGGGCACAAAAATGTATCGAAACCAACAAGTGTGCTATATACATGGCTCGATTCCACAGAGACAGAGAAGAAGACACAATAATTAGAACTACTGTTTTGTACCATTTGTTGTTTCCTTTCCTTGATATCATGATATCTCTATACCAGCAGTAAGTCCTCACGTATACTACTTTACAGCAATATAAAATTACCAAATATTGCAGGGATACAATCATGGTTGTCTCTGAAAAAGAATTGGAGATTTGCTAGATATCCTGTCATCTCATTCCTCCTGGCTTGCGAAAACGTTGATCAGAAGCTTAAGTAGCCACAAGACCTAATGTGTAGGGGAATCATTGACGGAGTTGGAAAACTAAGAAGATCGGATTCAAAAATGCCTCATTGAGCATCTCCTTACTTGCTCATTGCTCGAAAAGTAGTACAAGACAGAAACATCAGACGAACTCTCGTAATATATACCAAAGAGCGCCTTGGTAAGCGAGTCAGTCAATGCCATTCATTGTAAACTCATATTGGGTTGAAAGGGTATTGGGTACTGAAGGTCATGGAGAATTGATTGCATTGTAAAAGGTAGCTATCTAAGGTGTTTATATAAAGAGTGTAAGGTTTAGGCAGACATGAAGCATTTAGGCAGCAGAACTATAAGTGGATCAAATAAGGAAGTGGAGCAAAAGAGAAAGTAGACCCAGCACAACAACTCATTATATGTGTCTTTTAATCGAGGATAGATCAGGGTGTTGTTAAGAGGTATTCTCAATAGGGAATATGAGATGACATCAGAAAAAAGGTTATGTCACTATTGACACTCCGGATGCTGACTATATATATAAGTAGTTTCGTGTGGAACGCGCTGTAGAATATTTTTGCTTAGACTTCCCTGAAATTTATCAAGAAGATTACGCATTAGACGTAGGTCTCAAATTAATTGAGCAAGTTTTACAGATTTCTTACTTACATTCACTCTTTTTCACACATCATTTATTGCTAACTTATCTATCATGTGCGCAAGGTACTACTTAGGATACCTAGTCACTGAGAAATTAAACATCCTCTCAACGAGAAGAACAAGCTTGTTTGGGCTGAGTAGATTGTTCTTTGATAACTAAACTTTTGCTCGGTTATCACGAGAATTTCTTGTCTAGAATTCCAAAGAGTTCCTGTGTGTGTACTCTACTAGTCTGCCTACTCATTTCGAAATTCCACCAAGGGGCAAAGCTCGTTGGCAAACAGATGAATTCAAGGCCGCTTTTGTGGCTACAGAAAACTTCTCATTCTTATCAAAATTGTTGTGATTGGCATCGATAAGAACTTATGTAAGAGAGGCGAGCATTGCTCTGTACACGCTATTAAAAGTCATTATGTTAAAACTCTGGCACAAGTAACTTAATTGTCGTATTTCACCTAGTACAATAAGATTTGAAAAGTAACAATTGTCCTAAACTATTCGTATAATTAATTTAGTTGTGTAAGGTCTTTAGGATAATATTCTATAACTCAGGTGTGTACAGAGTAATGCCCGCCTCTCTTACAAGAATGGTAAGGACAGACATGGGTGATAAATTGAGTGATCCGAAATTCTTACATTTGATCTCTTGATCATGCAAGTAATGAAACGATTGGTGCCAAAAATGATCATACTAGAATCTTATTATAATAATGCAAACTGCCACAGGTTTTCATTCTCTCAGCCTGTGACAGTTTTCGATTTAGTGAATAAGGGTTCGCTTAGCGAAGTTGCGGGTGTACCCTTCCGTAGATAGACAAATACCTAAGGAGTGCGAAGAGCGTCTCTCTTCCCTCCTTGCGAACAATCTATTCCTTGATCCCCACCATAACACAGCCTCATAGCCCCCGCATATCCTGAATTCCTCGCTTAAACCCAGAGTGTATTCCAAAGCTAGCTACTCCCAGTAACGGCCGACTTGACACAAAAGAATGACCCTTAGACACAGCAATACGTGGATTGAGCATGTAATATAGAAGCTGAGAAGAAAGGTGTCCTGGGATAGAACATGTTCGGGTATTGCCAATGAAGCGCTCAAGACAACTCGTCATTGCTTTACGGGAATATTGTGCGAATATCGCAGAACAATCTACTTAATTACTTCATTTAAGTAGATGAATTGAGAATAGAAATAAAGCAGTTTATATATCCTAGATAGTTGAGCTAGTCAATAACTGGACGCTATCATACCATCCAACCTCCTTTGCGTCGAGATTTTCACCTATTAATTCTGTCAACCACCAACACAGCCACAACATATAGTCACAACCAATAAACTATAACATCTCTTTTCTACATAATCCAGAGCACCACAAAAATCAGAATAACCACATAGATCACTGCGTGCGTACCATCCGGGGAGCTGACACGTCAGATAGGCGATCTGACTACACAACACCCACACAACATCCCATCACATAAGCAGCCATTTCCAACTCCCTCAAATCTCGCCATCTTTACACAGATATTCTAGGAACATTCTAGAGGCAAAGTAAGCGGTCTATGGTATAAGCGCGAAGAGCTGTAAAAATGGCTCTCCTGGCGGCAATTCAGAATTTACAAAAAATAGAAAGCTAGGTGGTAAGCGGCGGATATATAGGGAGTGATTTCCTTCTGAGTTAGTTTTGTTTACTTTGAGTATATAAGTTTCATTTGATTTTCCATCTCATAACTTCTATAAATTCCGAATCCCCTAGCCCAGCGTCAAAGCAATACGAACTCGTCACTCAAACACCTTGAACGCACCACCCATTACCATCAAAATGCCAGGCATCAAAGTCAAACCCGCCGCCAAACCCGCCGGAGGCCACTCCAACGCCGCAAAGGAGCAAAAGAAGAAAGCCGACGACGCCAAAAAGGAAGCTGATAAGAAGGCGGATAAGGCTAAGAAAGAAGCTGATAAGAAAGAGAAGGAGCAGAAGAAAGAGGCGGCTGATAAGAAGAAGGAGGAAGAGAAGGAAGAGAAGGAAGAGAAGGAAGAGAAGGAAGAGAAGGAAGAGAAGGAAGAGAAGGAAGAGAAGGAAGAGAAGGAAGCTGCTGACAAGAAGAAGGAGGCAGAGGTTGCTGGGAAGAAGAAGGGAAAAGCCGCTGATGAGGAAAAACAAGAGGCAGCCGAGAAAAAGACGGAGGATGAGATTGAGGACGAGGTATGATCTGTTGCAGCCTTCGCTAATTCCATGCATCTCGCCCTCTTTGGACTACAGACTGACATATTCCCCCCTAACCTTAGGAGGAAGACGATTCCAAGCCCAACTCCAAGGCCCAAAACTCCAACTCAACAACCGAGAAAAACACAAAACTCGCACAGCGGAGGAAAAATCAAACCAAAGATCAAGATCGCGAGCAACCAGAGGACGAAGATGATGAAAATGTCGAAAATGAGGAAGATGAAGCAGACCACAAGTCCACAGGAAGAACCAAAGAATCTCGATCTGAGAAACTGAAACGTCTCGCTGGACAGGCATCTGAACACCTTGATACTGGGGCTGCTGTTGGACGCGCGGTCGGGGCACCGACTGAGGTCACGGATACGTTGGATGTTTTGGATGGGGTTGTGAATGGGGAGGAGGAAGAGGATGTTGAAGAGGGAGAGGAAGAGGAAGAAGAAGAGGTATGGGATTTTGGGATCTTTGTAAGGCGCGAGATACTGATTATCTTTAAGGAACTCGAGGAACCCGAGGAAGCAGAAGAGGAGGAAGATGACGAGGTATGTATTTCAAGCCCCCCTGTTAGCATGACTTGGTAATCGTTCTCGTTTCAAAGTCGGGACGATGACTTGGCTTTGGATGCTTTTCTTGCACGAAAGAGAGATAATCTGATGCCACGCGCTATACATGCACTCTATGCCCAAGACAGGTTTGACTAACTTCTTTATAGGAAATAGAAGAAGAAGAAGAAGAAGACGCTGAGCTAGAGGCTGAAGAGGAGGAAGAAGTCGAAGACGAAGGGGTAACTACAATTCTCGCTAGTTCTAAAACCTTCATTTTTAAACATATACTAAAACAAAATGCTTGTAGGAAGAAAATGCTGAGCCTGAGGCTGATGAAGAGGTAATTACTGATAGTTCTTCCTAACCATTTCTGATTCCCTCGATTGTTTGCTTCCACAGAAATATACTAAAGCAGTGCTCATAGGACGAAGATGCCGAGCCTGAGATTAAGGAAGAGGTACTATTTTACAATTCTTGCCATCTATTCCCTCAACTTTTGGTTCTAGAAATGGATATGGTACTAACACAACTTCTCGTAGGAAGAAGAAGCCGAGCCTGAAGATGAGGAAGAAGATGGGGAAATAGAGGCCGATGATGAAGAGCACCCTGGTGATGACGGACAAGCCGGCGAGGATGAGCAAGTCAACGGAGAAGACGAAGAAGCTGATGAAGAAGAAGAAGAAGTTGAGGAAGAGGGGCCCGAAACCGCAGAGGGCGATGAGATTGAAGACCACTCTGAAACTCAGCAGAAATCCAAGGGCAAAACAAATCAAGACAACAAGCATCCAAAAGAGGAAGCAGAGAACGACAACGAGCAGGAAGAGGCGCAAGATGAAGAAACCCCAGAGCCTACCAAGGGACGTGGAAAGGGTGAAGGGAAACCATCCAAAGCTGATGAGGAGGAGTAAACTGGTTTACTTTTCGTTTAGAATAATTCTGAGATGCGGAGAAAGAGATGAGAGTTAATTTGAAGTTTGTGAGTGCAGAGGGATACTGTAGAATGTAGGGTTTAATTTTGTTCGTCTTTGTTTTTCTCATGGATATTTCCGGCGCATGAATGGAAATAATGAAGCTGCAAGTACGAACAGCATCTATGCGATAACAGTAGCGTATTCCCCCTAAGTAGGTAGTTAAGATTACGGGCTCCCGGTGGACAAGAAAAATGGCAGAAACCTCTTTTATCATGTTCTGACTTAAATAAAAACTATGTTATATTATTCAATTGGAATAATTAAAGTGATTTATCGAAAACGATAGCACAATAAAGATGATTGTTCTAGATATTCAATCATTCTAGTACTTAGAATCAAGTTACGCTAACAGTTAAAAGATAAATCTCTGCCATTTTCTTGTCCACCGGGAGGCGGGGTAAACCCGTGGCGTTCGCCTAAAAAGGGCCCCGAAATCTAGATTCTTGGATGTGGATTTCTTCTTCGGGATATGAAGGGAGAATACGTATGCTCTACGTATACCAAAACCTAATTCCTTCGGAAAAAAACAAAACGAATATAGTACAAGTAATAAAAGAAAAGCTGATTGCAACCTGTACGTCCATCCTCACAACGTTGCTCATTCCCAACCTCAACCGTACCTCGCACCAAGTCGCATTCATAACCACCACCGGCTTAAGCCCAGCCCAGCCAGCCCATCCACAAAACTAAAGAAATCCACTACACACGTTACATTCGCTTCTTACCTCACCTAGCTACTCTCCTCAGATCTGCAGAAAACTCCGCGGAGAAACCCCAAGAATCCAAGCGGGTTTGCATCATCACTTGGATAATACTCGCCATATGGATTAATTCATTTGCGTTTGGTGTACAGTGCGGGAGTCTGGGGATGGCTGAGCCGCTTGTAAACGCCCCAAGTTGAGGGGTCGTAGCTGCACCCCGGATTTTCGTGACAAGAGGATTGCTTTGGATTGGGTTGGTTCCTGTGTAGCGTTATCTGCATGAGATTGGGTTTTGGGTGTTTTGGATGGCTGAGAGGTAAGAGGGATTGGAGTGTGATGAGGTCAGGATCTGGCTCTTTTGTGATGTGTTTATTTTAAAGAGATCTGCTGGGCTTACAGATTGACTATTGTTACTGGTGGATGAGAAGATATTATCAGAATACGAATTTTGACCGTTGGTGACGCCTTTGGAAATTATGACACATACTATGATTCCTTCTTATTTCTGATAGTGACTGGCCGGCAAGACAATCCGAATATACGAATACGGCCATAAAGGTTATTAGCTAGGTAGACATCTAGACGTTCTAGAAGCAAACGTTGTAGCATTAAAAAAAGCCTAGAGAAGGAGGTGCTGGTTGGGCTTACCCCTTGGCCGTCGGGCAACTGCAAGCCAAGTTCCCAAACCCCCTTTCGCACTGTATGATGGGGTAATGGAATTGTTGAAATGTCCATGCTTGGGAATGAAAGTGTTTGTTCGGCGGAAAACCCCAAGGAAGTTTGTATGGGACTCCGGAGATGGTTTGGAAAGGGCCAGCCGGTGAGTAGGATATTACGTAAATGGAGGAAGGACCTACACCGTCTAACACCGTCTCATTGGAAGAGTCGTCAAACGAACTACCTAGTCGTGCGGATTTCCGAATAGACAGAAGTATGAAATGACTTTGTTTTTGGGAATTTACAGTAGTAGTGCTTGTCTTGGACGAAAAAGACGGAGAAGTCGGCGAATGAGACGACGAGGAGGGTGACGATGTCTTGCTTGCCCGTGTCGGTCCCGGGACCGTGAGAAGAAGCCGATGGTGCCGACCCCAAGCCAACCCAACCAAGAAATGCCAGAAATGAATTGCCATGAGCATGATGAGCCGCAATGAGATAAGATCGTACGAGTGAATTGACCTCGCAGATAAGGATAACACAGGCCAAGGAAAAGATAAGAGAGCAAAGATTGTGCTGGACTCCTCGAGTACCGTGAATGCCGAAGCGAGGAGAAGGAGCAAACCAAACAGACTTCGACTCAAGTTGCCCAAAAGGGATCCCAAGAAGATCATCCGAGATAATACCTTGCAGCTGGAACGAACATCACCCGTCACGCTACTGTAGCTAAGACATCCCCTTTTAGGCTAGGCCTAGACTTACCTAGACACGCTAAACTAGCACGGGGGTAGAAGGGGGTACTGTATTGAAAGGTGTTCCTGACCAGAAGGTGCCACGATTGATTTTTCCCCTTTCTGGATCTCTGACTTTGGCACTGCAGAGATTTTTCATCCTGGACCCGGCATCGCTCCATTTCCCTTACACAACACCTTGAATCTCTTACGAATCGTCGAGGATGAGAGCTCCACGATGCAAAAGCCATGGACACGGAGTCGACACGCACTCCACAATCTTCGCAGGGCTGCTCAGAATGATGCCCTCTCACCCCCACCACCCGTCTGAGACTGCACCTCTTTAACTCGACCCACGGCTGTGGGCTCCATATAACGTGAGCTAGCCGAGCCAGTCTGCCGCTAAAAGTGGAAAATGAGGGCAGCTGGTCATAAGGGATCTCACAAAGACCACAATTTAAAGTTCATATGCATGAGGAGAAGCATGAGCAGGCGCAGGACCTGGCAGGAGGGGCATCTGGATATTACGCGCCTGCTCTGTCCTACCTTTACCCCTCTCCCTTTCCTATCTCGCTCTACATCACTGTATACACTCCGCCTAACCTACCACCACAATACGTGCCTTTCCCAACACCATGAATCAACGCAGAAAAACGTAGACAGAAAACTATCCCAATGCAGCAAACATAGTCGCCGTAGAATAACCTTCTAGCGTCTAGTCGTCCCCTTGACCCCTATCATTGCAGTATCATTCCGCAACTACCTGCTCTTCTTACCAATGCGACCCACTATTAATGACTACGACCGAGACTATCTACTGCCCTTTGTACCTTTCTACTGTAGCTTCCCCCGCAAATCGGTATTACCGGTACACTTCAACTCCACTGATAATTGCTAATCAGTTCCGCAGAGCGTTTCTTCTCCCTAAACTCTCATGGCGGGTCGCTATCCGCAAGCTTCCACCTGCTCCGGAACAAGCTGTCCGTAGAGCTTGACCGAGGTCCTTTGGGTCCATCTTGGCGAACTGCTCCCATACAGACGTAACTGGCGTGACTTCATTGATAAGTGTTGATATCTAGAGGGCCCATCAAGGTGCTTGTGTGTCCCAGGAAAACGTGCATTTCATGGTTCAGGGGAGATAGATACAGAGCGTAGTAGCCGTAAGTAGACGCCATGTCGCTTGCATCTGACCTCCAATGGTGAGCTCACGCCTTTCCTAAATATCTTGACATCTTCCCCCCTTGAGAATACGCTTCCTATCTGTGCATTACCAGCATCACACGTGGTTCGAGTCAGCCTGGAAACACGGGCCCTCGCCCCTCTTCTCAACATATCAGACATTGCTGCTCGGGGGTGTGGCTGACCTGACTGGCTAGAGTGCTCCTAGCCTTCGTCTTTCTATAACAATATCGCGTCACTCCTCCAGTCTTTCTTTTGACATCAACACCAAGACCATCTTATACGGTAACAGTACCGACACGGCACTTGACTGGACAGGCATCGCAATCACTCGCTCGTACTAGCTAATAACATCCCACATATCGACAACACTCGCCCAAGTTCCAACATCCCAGCTGCATCATCTTCCCAGACCACAGGCCACCGCTGCACTTAACCGAAAACCTCAAAGATTCGTAACGAGTCGTCTCTGTTACATAACAGCGCTCCTCACGTCATTCCACACCCGGTTTGGCTCGCACAAGACACAGACCAACCGGCGAGCGCTCCGGAAAATACAGTACTGCAAATTTTCACTCCTCTCCTCTTTTTTTCCCAGTCTCTCTCTTGAATCTCACGATAAACAAATTCCCAAGATTCCCAATTCGCGGTTCTGCCATTATAAGATCGTCCCTTTGTCCGTAAACGAAAACGTTCGAGGTGCCCAATTTTCACCAATTCTGGTTCAGCACATCTCTCACCGCCTGCAGCCACCCTCCCCTCCATCGCAGAGGCCCCCTCATCCCTTTTCGGCCCATTCTGCTAGAACACTCCGATTCGTTGGCGACACAACTCACGTGGAATCCATATCCAAATTCCGTACAGCAAACACGACAATTCACTGAGAGCGTAGAGATAAGCTTTTCTGCCTAGATCCATTCAGATACGACATTAAACAGCATCCGACGTGGCTGAGCGTCTCAGAACAATTCTTAATCACCTTGACCGCAACAGAAAGGAACCTGTCATCAAAAACTGCTTTGGAGTCATTTGAAGTTTATATCCGCGACTTTGAGCTTTGCGGGCGGCGACATTACCAGTCGGGCTCCACAGAGGCGGTAACTCAAAAACTATAGCTTAGGAGCTATCTCCGCGCTAGACAACTGACATCTCATTCACAAACAACATACAACCTCGCATCGCCTGACTCAAACCTTCTCGCCTACTTTTGTTTGGGCTACAAGAACAAAGAAGGAGCTTCTGGAGAGCAGAATAGGAGCAAAGCAGAAGCTGTCAAGAAACCCCCAGCCAAGGGAGACAAGCTGTGTTGAGATCAGAACTCACGACGCCCGACCAAACATTCCCATTTACATCACACAAACCAACACACCCATGCCCTCAGCAACCATTCCGTCTGCTCTCACCATCAGACCCCGTCCTGATCGCGTACCAGCATCACAGGCACCAGTACATGAACCAACACCTAGGAAACTAAAGCACAGACCTTGCACATCATATCCAGATTCAGAAGACGGTTCATTCCTTCAGTATCATCCAGTTCAGCAGCAACACGTTCCAAATTACTACGAGTCTAGACCAGCAAAACGACCCATGCCTACTCCAAGTAAAACAATTGCTGTGGTCAATTCCTCTGGCCGACAAGCAGCCTCGTTTATTCGTGTAGCAGCTGCTGTGGGATATAAAGTACGTGCTCAATTAAGGAATCTTGATGGCATCGTTGCTTCTGAGATCTCATCCTTGCCAAATGTGACTGTTCTTGTTGGAGACTTGTACACCAAGAAAGCCGCTTTTGATGGTCCATCAGTCAACAATAGCCATGGAAATACAGGAGTCAACCATGAACTTATCGCCGACGTCTTTCGTGGCGCTGAACTAGCGTTCATCAATACTACATTCTGGGGTGATGAAGTAGCAATTGGGAAGGCTCTAGCCGACGCAGCAGAAAAGGCAAACATCCAACATTACATCTACTCCTCAATGCCCGATCACTCGCACCTCACACCATCTTCAGTTAAAGAACCTTGGCCATCATTGCCTCTTTGGAGCGCCAAAGCCACAACCTCCTCATACATTAAATCTATTCCCTCTCTCGCCGCCAAAACCACACATATGTTCACAGGAATCTACAACAACAATTTCACCTCCCTCCCTTACCCACTTTTCTGCATGGAACTTCAAAATGACGGTTCTTTCATCTGGCAAGCTCCTTTCCATGCCCATGTCAAGCTCCCCTGGCTCGATGCAGAACACGACGTCGGTCCGGCTGTTCTCCAAATATTCAAAGATGGCGTCTCGAAATGGGGAGGTCAGGATATTCCACTAGCCTACGAAATGCTTTCTCCTACGGAAGCCTGTGCCGCATTCTCAAGAGGTGTAGGTAGGCCGGTACGTTATCGTAGGCGATCCAAGATTGAAGTCAAAGTCAAGATCCCTACTGGATACCGTGAGCAATTGAAGGCCCTAGAGGACATGTACGAACTCGGTCGCGAGGATGGGGGAAAGCAGCCACCATACTTTGGCACCAGAGCGCTGGAGGAGAATTGTCCTGGTATGGCTTGGGGACTTTGGGAGGGACCGAGGGGTTTAGAGGAGTATGCTAGGGAGGTCTTCATGCTGGAGGAGGCGGCAAATGGGTTGACTTGGATGAATGAGGGTGAGGGAACGGAGGGAGACCATGAACGTGGCGAGTTGGTGGGCGGTATGCAGGAGGATGAGGAAGAGGGCAGTGACGACGATGAGGGCTTGATCATGGGTGGTGGAGTTGGCGGTGAAAATACACCAGCTAGAAAGGAGGAGAGATGGCTGGCATGAGGAACGATCTACAGTCTTCGATGACGACGACATCGTACTTCGGATTCACACTTTTCACTTGCCGGAATTCTTACAGAAAGCGATTCATTTTTTGTTCATCATCGACAGGGGTCACCTACGAACGATAGTACTGAGTCACCAAAACAGACCACAGAATTCTCGCATTTTTACGGGGCCAACAAAAAGAGCATAGCGTGTTTTTCAAACATACGAGGGAAAGGGGTTTAAAAGTACGTGGGCGAAAGTTTGCACATATCGGGTTCTAATGGCGTTGTCTTTTTCTCCTTTTCATTTGGGTTGTGGGTTGTGCTTTTCTGCATTGCATTGCGTGGTTGGCTTTATTGGGGGGACTGCTCCTTTGGGAATCTAGAATTCGATTCTCTTGCGTGTTTAGGGGAGTGTGAGGGCATGGTCTGGGACGGTATGGGAGGGAGAAAAGCTAAAATGGTTGGAGTGGAAGTATGTTAAGAAGAAAATAATACGTAGTTCTCTCCTCATCTCTCTTGTCGCCTGTGTGTCTCCTTGTTTGTAAGTTATTTTCTTTCCTCTCATACATTTTTCTGCTTCTAGAGACTGGAATATTTCCAAGGGCCAATACCATCGGCTCAGAAGACAGAATTTTGCTTATTACATCTACATCTTCTCATCAAATCCTACACAACCTCCCATCCCCATCTGGAATCACCGCCCCCGTCTTAACACTCCACCCCTCACTCCCCACCGCCTCAAGCGCCCAAAACACATCCCCCGGATCAACATCTTTTTTAACCTCCACCAACCGTCCATAATTACTCCCCCAAAAGCTCTCCTGCCATCCCACTTCCTCCGGACTCGACTCCCCCATATAACTCCCAGTAACCTCATCCCCAAGCACCGCCTTCCATCTCTCCATCCTCCCATCAAATTCCTCTCTGACCTCCTTCTCCCTTCCCGGAACCCAGGGTGCAGAGCCTTGAATACAATGGAAGACGCTATCGCGCCAGGCGGGCAACACAGATGTTGTCAAATTATGAATATTCGGCGCGCGGAAGTTGAAGCCTATTACTACTCCCTTGTTAATAGAGTCGGACCACGCTTCCCAGGTTGCATTTGCGAGTGGTGAGGAGGGGGTGAGCGCAGAGCGGGGGAAGAGGCGAGAGCCGATTAGGCCGTCTGGTTGGAGGGTCTCGGTGGGGAAGGTGGAGAGGAGGGCTTGTGCGGTGCTGGTGTAGGTGGTGATGTTTGGGGGTTGGAGGAAGGTTATGTTTTGGGATGTTAGGATGGAGAACCAGGGTTGGAGTAAGGATTGGACTTGTGTGGTGGTCTGGTTTGGAGCTACGAATCCGAGCATTATGAAGGTTGGGATGGCACCGGGGATGATGAAGAAATAGGAGTATGTCCCTGCGTCTGCTAACTTGATGAATAGGTCCCAATACGCTTTCACGCCTGTCATGAACTTCTCTATTGTCTGAGCTGTGAATGAGAAGCGTGCGGTTGTTGTGGGGAGTGTCGGGTATGCCCTCACAGTGACGGATGTCACGACGCCAAAGGTTGAACCTCCTCCTCCCCTCAGAGCCCAGAACAGTTCAGGGTGTGAGGTACTGGATGTGGTTACGAATGACCCGTTCGCTAACACGATGGACATGGAAAGGACTTGATCAGATGCAAGTCCGTAGATAGAGGATAAAGGCGAGTGCCCGCCTCCAAGGACATAACCTCCTAGAACCCCGACGTCTTGTCCTTCGCCTCCTACTACTATCATACCTTGAGCATCGGCAGCTTCATATAAATCTCGGGCTAGAACACCACTGCCTCCCCTGAAAGTGGGGCCGTTATATCCTAATGCATCATCCTCATACACGGGTATATACTCAATAGCATTCAGGTTGTGCGTCCATATACTTAGAGCACCAGCACCACCTGATTTCCCAGAGAAGTCATGGCCTGTATTCTTGATGACCAGTCGGATTCCCGTATTTCGCGCGAAGTTTACGCCCGCTTGGATTTGTGAGACTGTTGTGCTGTTTAGGACGTAGGTTGGGTAGCCGCCCAATGTGCAGGAGGTGGCGTTCAAGAGGCTGGGTGGGAGACAGGTGTTTCCTTGATAGAGAGGGGATAGGACAGATGAGGGGTGAGATACGCTTTTGATATATTTGTTAGTGAGGGTTTAGAGGGGGAGAGAAGAGGAGGACTTACTGGATGCTTGAATCTTGCCAGTTTTGGGTTATGAAATCGCATTGTGTTTTATCCTAAGTTATTGAATCAATATGAATTCCTCCAGCCCAGAAACGAAGCGAGAAACAAACATAATAAGCCCCCTCATAACAACTCGCAGCAAGCGGAACAGTTTTAATCAAAGCTCCTCCCACAGTTCTGTTTAACACATCCCACGAATTCTCAGATGGCCAATCTGCATCTCCGGGGAACACTTTACAATCTCCTACTTTTGAATTCGTAATAGATGATAGTTCTGGGGAGGAAACGAGAGATGCTTCCTCTGGACTCAAACTTGAAAGATCTTGTTGTTGCAATTGGATTTCTTCAAAGGGGAGGAGAGAAGCTATCGTTAATGATGTCAGGCACGATGTCAATATAAGAACAAATGTACGGGTCTTCATTCTCGCAATATTGTCCATCAAAATAAGACCAAACCGTTAGATTCGGGAATGACACGGGGGGGAAGAAAACAAACTCACCTCAAGTCGATAAGTAAAAAAATCTAATATCTCATCTACCAGGTATCTCCCGTGCTATGCGGGTTCCATCAAGAACATCTGTAAGAACCCACATAAGCAGTAATCTTTAGGCGGGGTAGTGTCAGCAGCTACGTGGTTGGGACCAATATAAATCGCTTATCAGCCGGCTACGAGTCTGTTTGCGGATGTGATCCGTTTACCCGGTCGGTTGGACCTTGGTACAGCGTTTTTCGCTGTATCGATCGTCTCGATAGGGTTGGGCTGTTGGTTGATGCAGGAACGGATTGATGGATAGCTTTTTACGTATATCCGAGAAGTATGTGATGCATTAAGTGTCACAAATCCCAGTGTGTAGATGTGCGATGGACAACGACACTCGTTCTCAGAACTGTTTCCTTCGTTCGGAAGTTTTATGACAAGAGAAGGACTGTGGTTGTCCTTTCTAATACAAGACCGGGAAGTGAAGATCGATTTGTTTTTCGCCTGATATGATTCGGTCTACACGTAGCTGTTGAAGAAGCCACGATGGATTGCCATTCTTGGGTACATTGGGGACTACAGTTGGTCATGTTCCTCATAAATCTTTTTACGACTCCCGACGAAAAGTTGGTTGTACTGTACCCTTTCTCCGTTCATAATCAAATTCATTGAATGAACTTCATATTATAAACATACTTGGAAACTGAATTCCAAAATCTGATTTGATTTGGAAGAGAACTGGATTGATGGCGATGCCAAAACTCACGTGACTATCACAAAAGCGAGATGTTTCTGGTAGTATGGGAAAGAGCGAATTCATCAAAGGCGTGAAAGTAACCACAATTATCGAGTCTTGTGCTTCTCTTCCGCTCTATCACATCTACAACTACCAAGCCAAAGCGGAGTCTGACCGCCTATTACAGAAAGTAACATCATTACCATCCACCAGATCTACTCGACTCTCATTAAGGCACTGACGAGAATGGCATCACAGAAACGACCCTCCAATTTGTTTACGGGAACTCTCCCATACTACGTCAAGGGCGCAGCTCGTGGAGTAACTTGCATTCAATGTACCAAATCCGCTCTTCGTGGCCCTCTAGCACCAGCATGTCACGACACAGCGGGTCGGTCAGCCCGTTGCCACAGATGCTGCACTAACCATCTCTCATGTTTTCCTCATTCCGACGAGGCTATTCCTCTTGTTCGCAAGCTCAGATCTGAGCTGCATAGAAAAGGAGAAGCAGACTCTGTACGTTGACAACAACAATGAAAATATCAGTCGGGCTTTACTGATTAGTAGCACAGGATGTTATCAAATTCAGAGAAGTGCTGACAACCCTCTTGAAGGCTGATGCTGAATTGAAAGCTGCTGCAGTTACGGAAACTGAGACGCAGCTAGCAAAAGCTCGTACGGCTGCTCGTATTGCTGGAGAATCACTCGTTAAAGCTACGTTAACAAAGCCACCTACCACAACTTTGGGCCCAAAAAAGAATTCCAACGCTTCATCTCCAATAAAATCGAGCAAACTATCCGAGGTTTCTCGCGAACGTCGCGCACCAACACCCCAAGGTCCTCGGAACAAAAACCAAGCGAGGGTGCCTCAGAGTCAGCAGCGACCAACAGTCATTGGCGAGGGACAGTGCAATCGAGAAGGGGGTCCAAGCCGTTCAGCGCCCGATGTGACAAATCCACGAGATAAAGAAAACACATGTCCCAGTCAATGCCCAAATTACAAATCACACGTTGGCAGCAATAAACAAGATAGTCGGTTGGGAAACCGAAGCGAGTCGAGACACAGAAATGATCGTCCACCAGAGCGCGATGAGAGAGAACATCGAGCTCGTTCCCCTTGTCAAGAATATCGTCTTGGAAATAGATACTGAAGTCTATATTGCGATTCTTGCTATAGTAGACGCTATCGAAGCAGATCGCGACGTCGCAATAGTCGCGAGGAGCATAGTAGATCTCCCTACAAAAAAAGCCATCAAAAAGGCCGCAACAGATCACCAGAAGAAAATAGAGGCAAAATTAGCTCCCGACGTCGAGACCATAACAGACCATCACAAGGTAGAAGAGGCAGAAGTCAATCACCACGTCGAGATTCCAGATACGAGCGAAAGAAAAACACTCATAGTCGAGAACGAACTTACCAAAAAGAGACAGGAAACTTTGATGATTCAGACGCTATCGATGCTGCCGTCATCAAGCGTAATAATCGCGTCAGAAAGTTAATTGATAGCTTCGTTGATGATTTGATGGATGAATTTGCCGATTGAACGTGGCGACCTGAAAATAATTGGTCGAATCCCTTCTTGGGCCGTTACGCTGTTCTCTACCACTGATTGGAGTTCTGTGTGTTGCTTTTTCCGTGGTCATGGCAATTATGAGAGAAACAACGAAGTTGCTTGGAGTAGATTGGAAATCCCGGAAGGAAATTGGCTATTTGAATTGGTGCTTTGAAGGTCTGTAGGATGTTTTGCAGATGCTTTGCTGTTTCGTATCAATAAGAGCGTTGAGCGTGAAAATTAAATAAAAACAATCCAGGGGACTTGACAGTTTTGCATGTCTTGAAATAATTCCCAGCATACCATATTTATGCGGTAAGCTAACTTAATATGAAACCCTAAAGTGTCTTGTCGATAACCATTGATCTATGGATCCAAGATCACTGTAATTGTGCAACCTATTTGGGAGTTGCGGGACATTCGTTTCCTTCGCCAGTAATCATCCCACACGAAGCGATTGTGTCACATTTCTACCTCCTGATCCAGTGCCCGATATAACTGCGCCATATAGGAATGGAACGCAACACTGTTTTTCTTGTGTATTGCGAACTAATACTTGAACCCGAATTCCAATAACATGCCGAGGTGACCTAAATGAGGGAGAAGAAATGACGTTTGTTATCCCAAAGCTAAGTTGTCAAGATCTTCCAGATTCTGGTCCTGGAGCATGGAATAGTTGATCAATCTAGCCACAGCAATCCTTTTTTTTTTCAAAAAGGAGCCATAGGTTGGTGAGTTAGTAGCTCCTTCCTGCACTAATTGGCATTTTCTATCAACCAGAAAGCTGCACAGCTTTCAAGAATCTTTTGGAGACAATTGAAGAACAGAACAGAAAACGCCTGCCTTTTAGTGTATATAACCGAGGATTTACCAAGTACACATTCAACCTCTTCCGGAGAAGTAAACTAATTGATAGAGGGTTGACAAATTCTACACTCAGATAAAATGATATCAACTTTCGAAACTTTGCCAACCGCCGCCCAGAGAAAACATGATACACGCCCCTGGAATACAGTCCAAGAACGTTGCGAGTGGCGGCTTTCAAATAAGGTGCCGGCTATTTAAGGTTCTGTCAAGAAGATGGTTAAGCATAAAATTTAGGTTTAATACAACATAAAGGTGCCGAACAGCCAAGCTCGCCAACCCCCTGCAAACGAAGTGTTATAGGAAGGGTATAATCCCATAATATCGCCTTCTAAGCCAATTTTATTGCCTAATTCATGTGGAGGTATAACAGAAATTGACAAGGGGTGGCGACCTGAGCTGTCCAAGTGTCTTTACCCCGGTTCCGGAGACCCTTCCCCACTAGATCACAAACCACATTGTTTCCGCAATAATATTTCGTAGACTTCGATTGTGCTATGAAAACTCCAAACGCGAAACGCACAAAGCAAGGAAAACCAATCATCCAGGTCTCTCCATAGCCGAGGCGATATTTACAGCCTTGCAGGTAATCGTGGGTCGCGTATCCGCTCTACCAACCTTCCTTCTTTAGCTCAATTGACAATTGCAGTAACAGGATTTGTCGATTTAAACTTTTATACAATGCTTGGGAGTCTTGGATTTTGCGATCGGTCAACCAAGCTCTCACAAGATTCAAGGAATATTTGTAAACACAGGTGCGGGTCCAGGAGTATAAGATTGTCACTCGAAACTTCCTTTCCTCCCATTCATAAACAGATTTTTTCAAGCAACTCCATACTCTACCAATCACCAGCATTAATAATATACAACACAACATCTCAAAATGAAGGTTTTTGCCGTTCTCGCTACTCTGGCCCTCACTTCTACCACCGCAGCTCAGTGCGGTGATGGCCGCATTTGTATTGAACGATGCAAACCACGAGTCAGCATTTTCCATCCTCCCTTCCCCATCACAATTTTTTTGATTGGATCGCTGACTATTGAGTAGCTAGTACAACAAGTAAACTGCAGAGGTGACAGACTTGATTGTACATGTATACCCGCGCAACCGGGCTTCCATCAACCTACACCTGCTCCTAAAGCCCGATGACGAATATACGAGGTGAAGGAAGTGTTTTGAAGTATACACATATGTTAGTAACTCTTCCCTGGTATCATCCTTATTATATCGTCGGCTCGGTTTACTGATTTAAGTAGTAGTTAATAGCGCTAGCGAAGACCCAAAATTTACTCCCTGGACGGAGGTAATGATGAATAGGAGATCTTGGGCGTTATTAGATATTTGTACTATAATTATAATTCATCTTAAAATTGAAAAAGTAAGAGAGGCGAGAATTGCTCTGTACACGCTATGAAAAGTCATTATATCAAAACTCTAGTATAAGTAACTTGATTGTCCTATTTCAGCTAGTATAATAAGTATTGAGAAGTAATAATTGTTCTAAACTATTCGTATAATTGATTTCATCGTATGAGGTCTTTAGGATAATTATTTTATAACTCCGGTGTGTACAGAGTAATGCCCGCCTCTCTTACTGTTGCTTCTGCCTTTACCTAAATGGACGAATACTTATCGAATCACTCAATAATTTGTAGAGAGTTCTAGCTGCCACCATCTAAACAGATGGGTATTTCTGATAACTGCGTTTTTAAAAATTCCGCGCAGGCGTGACTTTTGATTGCAGAGGAGACTCATTGAATGGACCGAAGAACAGCCACACGGACGATTCGAATGACCGCGAGGAATCCCACCCTGGCCCTGGGTGTCCAACCGATGGTAGATGATTGTTCGCGGAAACTACTGTAATACCGATATATCAACCTTTTTCCAGAAGTCCACCCAGCTTGGTCGTTGTATCTGATACGAATTCAATCGATGCATAGCCCTCGCCAAACCATTGACGCTACAATTCTACGCCGTTTGTCCTGGCCTAGTCTACTTCCTTCCAAAGCGTCTTCGAGCAGTATCATCAAATAAACTTTCCGCTTTTTTCATCATCTTATGAATGAAGAGATTTCCGGGTCGTGGCTAAGAAATCACAGACAACCTGTTGATTTAGCTTAGAAGTAAGCCTTTATAATCTCTCTCTCCCTCTCCATCTCTTTCTCTTTCTCTCAAAAGCTATCCTATTATTAATATATACCCATTCTCAGATTTATCTATAAGTATGTGTATGTGATGCCAGAAAGAAGGAAGACTCCACCCGCTGACTCAAGACGTACTACTATACGCAATGCAGCTTGATTATTCAGCACGGGATACTTTAACGCCCGCGATTGCCTATTGGAGATGGTTTCTAAGCTTATTCACTCCAAAAGCTTATAAGCATATATTTGTCGTTGGTAGCTTGATGGTCTCTCTTGGATGGGGAGACTGATTTATTCATGCTTTCGTCTGGAAAGTTGGGAGGTACAGCACAAGTCTGGATTACGGATATCTCTTGATGAACGAGCTGAGCTGAGCAAAGTCGGAAGCCACCTTATTTATCAATCTGAGAGTTTTTGATTCCAGATCTAGGATTTCTTCACACAAACTCGAGGAAACACACTCACAAACCCAAAGAAACTAACCCCGTTAAAAGAAAAGGAAGATGTTACAATCACCAAACCCCGACACCGAGAAAGCCATCTCACCCATCAACAACAACAACACCACCACAATCACGCACCCCCAAAAACTCTACCGCCCAACAACCCAACCCTTCATCGGCCGGCTGGGAGGAAACCAATCCTTCACCTCCCCCTCACAGACAAGCACAAACGCCCTCCCAGACACAACACCATGCATGCCGCTCTCCTCACAACTGCACCTCTCGGGCTTTAAATGTATCTCCCTCTGGAAAGCCGCGCTCCTCGAAGGACTCGGAAGCTTCATGCTAAACTTTCTCACAATCTGGATCTCGAGCTCACCCTCGACCTTCCCGGTTCCGTCCAACGCACAATGGGGGAATTTCAACAACGCCGCTTTTCTAGGGCCCCTGGTGGGAGGCCTCACGAATTGGGTGTTGATCACGTTGTTTACGTATGCGTTTGGGGCGGTCACAGGTGCGCATTTGAATCCTACCATCACGATTGCTACGTTCTTTGCAAGGCTTTGTTCGTTACCTAGGATGGTACTCTACGTATCTTTCCAAACTTCTTTCTCCGCGCTCGCGGGCTTGATGATCCGCACGGCGCTAGGGACGAGGGAGTTTAAAGCAGGAGGGTGTTGGGTGGATACGGATGTTGTGTCAGTGTCGTCCGTGTGGGTGGTGGAGTTTGTATGTTGTTTGACGTTGTTGTTTCTCGCTTTTGGGGTGGGGTTGGATCCGAGGCAGAAGATGGTTATTGGACCGAGTTTGGGACCAGTGCTTGTGGGGATGGTGTTGGGTGTTGTGAGCTTTGGGAGCGGGTTTGTGAGGTATGGGTATGGAGGTGCGAGTTGTAATCCGGCGAGGTGTTTGGGGGTATTTGTGGGGGGAAGGTGGGAGGGGTGGCATTGGATTCATTGGTAGGTGGTTTTCTTTTGGGGGGAGCTTGATAATTTCGCTTAAGTTGTCTTTGGGAGCGGCTTGGCTGGGTCTTTTTGTTGTGTGTGGTTAAAGGCTAATGAAATTTATAGGGTTGCGGATATTGCTGCTTGTATGGTTCATGGGGTATTTTACTTCTTGATCCCGCCTTGGGAGGAGTTAGAAGAGAGGGTTCAGCGGCATCCTTTTGAGAAGAAGTGATGTTTCTACCGCGCCGTACTTGTACATACCCTTTATTAGAAACGTGATATTTTTGGAATACTAAAAAGAAAAAGTATAAACGTAGTGTTATAAGAGAGTCCCCTAATATAATATAATAACTACGTTTCTAAGACTTAGTTCGTATAAGTAGACGAATCTTTGACTCCTTTTAATAGTTACATCGCTTTTTTATATACTCTAGGAGTATACTTATATAATAATTTGCGAAGGGTAGAAAACTAGTTTTTATAAAGCTCTAGCCCTAAGAACTAATCCCGCTATCCTACCGTATAGTTAGCAGTGGTTTATTGTGAATGAGGAAGTGCTAAGCAACTCGGTGGGATAAATATCCCACATTCAAGTACTCCTCCATCAACAACACCACAATTATCGTCACATCGCACGATTTTGGGTTCTTTTGACCCGCCCTCGTACCCCTCGAGATAGTCTCGCCTTTAGTTAGATATGCACCTTTACAGGTAGCGAGGCCTAGGATGCTAATACTTCTTCATGATACACTAAATGGAGCCTTCTGATTGGTCCATAATGTGTGAGAAGTCCAAGCATTTGAAGCCAGCCAGCAATATAAGAAATCAACAATAAACCTTCTTTTGTGACGTGACGAATGGACGATAAACGCGAGAATTAACCTTCTATAATTTCGTACTTTTTTTTAATATCCTCGGCTACCCGCACTTACTAAAGGTTACTTATATAAAGCGCTACATAGTATTACTTAGAAACAATTGAAACAATTTTTCAAGTCAATTAAGCAAGGAATTGAGCAAATAGAGCACATTACTCGAGTAAGGTTATAGTGAAACCCCTATTTTCACGATAGAAATACTCCTTTTTACGACAAAACTACCACCGACGACATAGACATCATTTTACTACCGACTTTATTAGTAGACTAGTAACGTGGTATATAAATAGTATTTTTGTAGCAAAAGAATTAATTAGGTGGCATTTTTGTCGCTTGCAGTTAAGCGAAAGCGACCAAAATATAACCCCAACACTTCAGTTGTTCTTATTTTACTATTATCGCGTACACATGTTTTGTATACCTTAAAGTTGGTGGTTTAGCAAAGTTATTCAAGGCTGTTGGGCAGACAGTCAACCCGTGTCTGCTTGTTCGTCCCTTTTAGGGACTGGCAACTTACTAGTACTATATACTACCTAGTACCACAGGTACTACCTGAGGTCTAAGACGCAGGTATAAAATGACCATAAGTGAATTTGAGGTCGCTTACGTATACACTTCGGATGATATCTATTATTCACTATCAAACTCCCCTTTTCTGTCATTAATATCTGCGGTACCCAGACTCTACGAATACCAGGAATTATCTCATCATCTCATCATAATCATTACAATGATATTATTTCCACTTCCTGCTCAGTCTACATGGATTTACAATGAAGTTTTCCCCAAAGATTCCGTAGTCACCTCATTATCCACCTCACCAGCCCGAAAAGGCGCCAAGAAACTCCCCAACAACCTTCCTGAATCAGTTCTGAGAATCCTTGACCCCAGGAAGTATTACAACCATATTCTGGTAATTTGTAGTCATTTCTCATCGGTACTATATCATGTTAGCTCTGGCAGAATCTTTCTTCGTTACACACTTATGAAAACAAGACTCACATCTAGCCATAACCACTCGAATCCCTTCAATCATTTCTCTAGCCGGGGCGTCAAGTCCAATCCTCTCCGTCGCCAAGTTCCCCCGTACGAAAGGATTTATTCCTCCTTTGCCAGGCTGAGAAGTCCGGTATATCGCATGAAAAAGATATTTCAGCTGCGCAAATGGTATATCATCGAGATCTTGACAAACTTGCTTCGCGGTCTCCTGTTCGGTAACGGCGGGGGTTACAGGAATGGAGTTTGCAGTGCAGAAATGTATCTGTGCTTGAGACTGTAATGCTTCGATTGAGGAAGCTAGAATTAGAATCGTGCAGAAAAGCATGGGCCATGAAGAGGAATCTCTTCCACGAATGTGTTTTTCGAGCGTCTTTAGTACCCGCGCGAGGACTTGGCGGTTCGAGAGGTACAGGATATGTTTTATTTGTCTGTCCAGCATACGTGAAGAGCATCGATCGGTACTTTTAAAGGCTTCTCCGAGTTTGGCCGTTATACTTGAGGCAGATGTTTGTGTGAAGATGATGGGTAATGGCACAAGACTCAGATAAAGATAGAATAGCAAGACATCGTGTAGAAGTGGATCCTTCTATACTCATACGTTACTTTACTTCTCCCGAAATGAAGGATGTGGTGCTTACCTCTTTTCTAGCCTGGTAAAAAGCAAAAATTGTCTTCATGATTCCTTTCGAAGATTCTGGGCACAGATCCGTTCTCATATTGGCTGCGAACGATATTTCGTCAAACCGAGAAGCCAAGATATCTTCGGCGTATTTATTGATGGCTTTCTTTGCTGAATCGGTATCGTGGGGAGATAATCCAATTGGTAAAGAACTTACCCCTAGCGAGAGTCCCAAGCCGCCAGTATAGTTTTCCTGGGCATTTGAATTTGGCGTTGGTGAGAAGATGGTTGCGGTCAACTCTATATGCGACTGACCAAACCAAGCGCAGGTGACTGGAATGGATTGGTTTGTGAAGTCTTGGATGTTCGCATTAACATATTTGTCAATTTCTTCAGTCACAAATCGCGAGTTGAAATACGCTGAACTTTGGTATTAATACATGTAAATATTGAGATAGACAGGTTACTTCATACCAGGGAAGAAAAGGGGGGCATAGGCTGGAAGTGGTGATCTGTCACAATTTGGAATTGTGTGATTTGAGTTGGCTTTGCTGCAGCGACGGAAAGGATGTCCCTCAGGACACTGTTTGTTCGTCAGTAAGCGGTTCGAATGGAAATCTCAATCCAACCATTATCGGGCAAGATTGCATAGAATAAGTGGCCGACTTATGCCTACAAACATGCCCAGAATTATCGATCAATAGGCATGATAGGAAAAAACAATCCGGAGTGATGAAATAACGACAGGAAAGAATACTGACCGGCACTTTCAAGGCCCAACAACTCCAGCAAGCCCCAATCTTCCTAAGTTCTCTGAATTTCTTCAGCTTTTACTGGTCCAATTCTCCACGGCGTCCGCCATTAGCACGCCGAGTTGGCTCACCATATCCGATAAGTGTAAACAAGGACTGTGATTCATCCGACTCCGGAGAAAGGGACACACGTCTCCTTTTTCCTAGCACTGTGGCCAACTCAAGGTCAGAGGAAATGGTATCCGGACTTCCAGAAAAATCCCGCTCGGCATGAGCTGCCGCAGGAAATTCGTGTATTTTGAAAGGTGGGACCTTTTTAGATGAAGAGGAAACATGATTGCGAAGACTTTCGTTAGCTCGAGTTGGTGTTTGTATATTGGACAAATAAACAGGAAACTTTTCCAGCCCGAATTTCTGCCTGAAGAACCCATTGTAAGAGTCATTGGCAAAGAGGAGTGACCCAAGACTCGACAGAAAATCCCTTGACGTTTTGAATCCTCGTTCGTCCCATTTCTCAACACATACCATCTTTTGAGTCGCAGCAATGGCTTTGGACGCCAAGGGATGCAAATGATATTCAAGCATGATGTCTTGTTTCGAGGACCAGCCGAATACACTGACAAGTGTCTTGAATGCACTATTGATTCGAAGCGCACAAGTTTCATCCCAAGGACTCACATCGTCACATGTATTTCTTACCGAGTATGCGTCAATGAGAAGTCCCTTGGCTATACTAAATACCATCAAGGCATAAAAGCAAGCAAGTTGTGATTCGCCCGAAAGTTTCCCACGGCCAACACAGATTCGCTCGAAGCTTTCTAGGAACTTTTCCATGTCTTCTTTGATTTCGACAAGAATCAAAGTATTCGATTGAGGGAGCTTCGTTGGATCGAAAGGCGGCGAGCCTGTGAGGTCTCCGGAAGCGATGTGGCCGCAAAGACGTTCTAATAGATAGAGCTCAACAGCTTGGCGCAATAAAAGTTTACTTTGACGAAATATCTCCCAAGAAGCCTGCGTAATGATTAGTAGAATACGAGAATTTGGACAGACAAGCGTACGGGTGCAGTTTTCGAACACGAGTTTCCAAGACGCAATAACGTGAAAACATTACACTCCGTTGCCCCAGCATAAACTGGATCCATTGAAACGGTTTGAAGCAAAGCCCAGATAGCTTCATAGTCTTCAAACAGGGCTGAACTATTCGTGAGCTCATGCTCACTGCAGGTTCCTGTTGGGTTTGTGCAAATTGGCTGAGAAGTATACGGCTCGCTGTATCACCCCAAGATTGGTCATGGAGTTGAGCGAAATCGGGTCGATTTTGGAGAAGCTGCAGTATTCGCTTCTTTTTGCCAATAGAGACTCGAGATTTTGTCAGGACGAAGTCAACCACGAGAAGATTTCCTGATTGACATTTGAGGACTCTCGTGTTTTTTCTTGCGAAATCTGATCAGTTATGTTAGCATGTAATCTTTGGCAATGTGGGCATGTCAACATTATACAAAAACTGCCTAGAAGCAACGAAACCAAGTTCTGGATTTGTCCAGGATCGCAGAAAAAGGAATGCGAGGAGATACTCCAGAACTCTTACCCGGACAAAACACACTAGCCACATCTCTCAGATGACCACGAACACAACCAAGAACCTTCCAGTAATCATTCTCGTTATCGAAACTCTGCTGAGGACAGTGGGCGCACAGATCCTCAGAATCACACTAATTCTCGTCAACAAATCATCTCAAAAAAGAGTAAGAATCCTCGCACGGACCTTCTTTTTCAATATTTTGCAGCGCAAACAAGGAGGCTTGTTGTCGTTCGACAGCTTCGCTCGCTTATTTCCGCTGGAATCTGATGCGACAGAAGAGTGTCTTTTCCGCAAAGCAGAAGCATCCATTCCGACGGAAGGGGAAGCCAGATTGGGCGTTTCTGAAACTTTAAACTGACTCAGAGGCAAGACAACAGAGGGATCGCCGTGATGGTGGGTTGTAGGTTGCGATGGCTCTATCATCGGCTCCCTAGTCTCTAGAAAGCTCAAATTTCCCACGCCACCGGAACTCATCGGTGAGACCTCTCGTAAATGGAAATTCAATATCTCGCTTTCCATCGCCTGCATTCTGTGTAATCTTGTCGAGGATCTACCGATCACATCTGCAGGCTCTCGAAAATCTATCGAGTATTTCAGCATCAATTCCCCGTGTTCATTTGTGGAATGAAGCCTACTCATAACAATATACTTTTCCAATCTATAGACATAATTCAATCGTGTAAGTTCCTCGTTGATTCCATCTTCAAAAGCAGCGCGATTTGGTTCCATGATGACATTGAGGTGGTCTTTCGAGATCAAGAAGATGAACGTGGCAATTTCAGATGAAGAAGATATCCGTGGGCATTCACACAATATATAAAGAACATCAAACCAGCCAACGGAGTCATTGAAAAGGATACCGACGATTAATGCTTGCCCAAGGCGGCAGCTCACCTATCCACGAAACGGGGCTGTGCTGTGCCTCAAATGTACATACGTACTGCAAAGTGACACCAACACAGGACAGGCTTAGCGATTGGTCTGCCGCCTCTTCCAACACGACATGCCGCCAAATTGCCGCCCGGTAAGCATTTTCGAATACCGTATGCACGAGATTGTGTTGTGCAGCTGTTAGAAGCAAACATACGAATCCAGAGAAAGATATTCATATTCAACCCACGGGACTTCTTATCGTAAACTCATCTCATCTCACGTAAATCTAATTTATCATCATAGCTCTTAAGTAATGATATTTTGTTGCGCTATATACATAAGTAATCGTATGTATTGATTGAGAGATACCCCTTTTAGCACGTGAGACATGTCAACACCATGCTATGTAAGATGTAATGGCAAGAAGGAGAACTACTGTACTCGAATTTTCGAGAATTGATCGCAGGTCAGATGTCCCAGTCTTGCGATGGCTAGGCTAATATTAGTACGCTTATATCATTGGGTAAAAGTTAACCTATACAGTACTAACAGGGAATAGAAACAAGCGGCTACATTAACATTAACGAGTGACTGAGTGAAATCATAACGGTAAGATTATTATCATTTCTTCCCTTTTATAAAGAATACTGAAGGAGAGCCGAACTCATGAGACATATGTATAAAAAGTCCATCCTAAAATCCCAAGTTTCCAAAACCCGAGCCCTAAAATACCCCTAAAACACCCCGCAATGCAGATACCATTTTTCCTTCCTACATCATCAAAAACCCCCCATCTAAACACTCGAACAAGCCTTGTTAAAAATCTGCACAAACTTCCAGACCTCCTCATAAGTATTATACAACGGAACCGGCGCAACACGAATCACATCCGGCTTCCTCTTATCCGCTACGATCCCCGCATGCTCAAGCATGCTACTCAAGATATCCAAACGACCTGGCTTCAACAGCATGACGGAGAGCTGGGTACCTCTAGCCGCTGGGTCGGAGGGAGTGATGATCTTGAATGCTGGATCGGAGGTGGATCCCGTTGAGAGGAGGAGGTGCTCGAGGTAAGCGGTGAGGTGGAGAGATTTGGCGCGTAAATCAGCCATGGTGATTCCTTCATGGACGGAGAGAGCAGCGCAGAGGGAGGTCAAGTCGATGACTGAGGGGTTGGAGACTTGGTACCCGGATGCGCCGGGGGAAGGACGGAATTTGTTGTCCATGTTGAAGCGTCCTACTTGGTCGCCTCCGTACCATCCACTCAAACGAGGTCGGAAACTTGGGGCTGAGCCATCGGCTGGATACTCGACTTTGCCGTGACGTTCGTGGACGTACAGACCTGCGATTGAGCCAGGTCCGGCGTTCATATATTTGTACGTACACCAGGCGGCGAAGTCGACGTTCCAGTCGTGGAGTTGGAGAGGTACGTTACCAGCTGCGTGAGCAAGATCCCAACCTATTAGAAGACCCTTTGATTGTGCATGAGCGGTGATGGTCTTGATATCGAAGAATTGTCCAGTGTAGTATTGAATTCCAGGTAGGAGAACAAGGGCAGTGGTTGAAGCGTGCTCATCGATAAGAGCAAGGATCGATTCAGTGGAAACCTCATACTCTCCTTCCTTTGGACGAATCATCACCATTGACTCCTCTGGGTCAAATCCGTGACTTCGAATTTGAGACTCGATAGCGTAGTGGTCACTTGGGAATGCCTTCCAATCGAGGATAACCTTGTATTTGGTTGCGGTTGGAAGATAGAAACTTCCCATCAGAAGATGCAGATTCATTGTCAAACTCCCCATGGTAGCTACTTCAGAAGGTATAGCTCCAACGATGGGCGCTTGAAGTTTCGATGCGTGTTCGGCGAGGAGTTGCCATTGTGTGAGTGGCGATCCTTCCAGATCTCTGAAATGACCATGAACACCGATTGTTCCCCAAGTATTGAGGTGGATGGCGATGTACTCGGAGACAGCTCGGGGTTGTAGACCGAGTGAGTTTCCACAAAAGTAGATACATGGGTCGTCACTTTGGGTTTCTGAGAAAGGGGGTCAGTCATGTGATTGTGGGGAGGGGTAAACTTTGGGTGGCGGCATACCTGGTTTTACAACAGATTCGGTTTTGGTATTTGCCTTGGACGAAACTATGAATTTCTCTCGATACGATCGAAGAGGATCTTTGGCATCCTGTGATTGCGCAAACTCGAGCGTGTTTGCCTCTGCTGGAAATGTTGGCTTCAGCGATCGCTGACTCTCTGCGAGAGATCCCATCGTGATGGTTTGTAATGAAGAAGGTCAGAAATAAGATGTTGGGGTTGGATGAGGTTGGTCTTTGATTTGGAGTGATGAGCTGATACAGGAGAAGCGTCAATGGGAGGATTGCTCGTTCCACTTTGTACCTCGACTTTCTCGGGATCTCCAAACTGTTTTCACCTCTCCAGACGTTATCCCACTCACCGTTGTGGCGTTCCAAATTCCCATGACGCTGAGTCCCGATGGGTGCCGGTAGCTTGGGCGCGGGGTATTTTGTTGTCACTTGATCCGTCCTCATCCGCTTCCGCCTCCGTACCCACATTCGCCTCCGAGAATTCCTTCACTCCATGCCTGTAGAGTAATGTACTTTCTTGTTAAGCCAAGTTTCGAAATCAGGAAATCACGGTGAGCAATTTTTGGTTTACGTATGGTTCTTGATGGAGTTGGCTGTGGATCAAGTCATGTTTCATGCTCTCATTCTGGTTCCTATTCTTTATCTTCTAGGCGTCTCCAGTTAAGCAGGCTGAGTCCTTTCCAATTCCATGTACTCACTCACCGGCTTCTTGTACCAAAACAGCACCCTTCTTTCTCAATATAAATCAAAAGCCATTTTGGGTCTTTCATTTGCCAAATCTCCAAACAAACCCTCTCTCTCATTCTCATTCTCTCACAAATCCACCAATCTCCTAATCTCACAAAACCAAATCATGATCCGACCCTCCCCCATCAACCCAGCCGACTTCCAAGTCTCAACCAAGAACGGTTTCCTCCCAGAAGAACTTCCCCTAGAAATACTGAGCAACCCCTACTATGAGCCCTGGGAAGCCGTAATCAAAGATCTTTCAACTCTCCTCTCCACATCCAGTCTCCGGGAAACCGTCGACACACTACCAATCCTTACAACTACACACCTTATATCAGAACCAGAATGGCAACGCGCATATCTGATACTAGCCTTCCTAACACACGGCTACATATGGGAAAACGGCGGGCCATCAGAAGTAAGTCTCACCTCCACAGGTCCCAACTCTAACCAAAACACAAAAACAAAGAAAGATGCAAGAGACTAACGAAGAACCCAGCGTCTCCCAGCCTGTCTATCCATCCCCCTCCTCCGCATCTCAACCCACCTCTCCCTCCCCCCAACCGCCACCTACGCCGCCTTCAACCTCTGGAACTACGCACCCCTCAGCCCCAATCTCCCCCTAAACCAGCCCGAGAACCTCCGCTGCATCCACACCTTCACAGGAACAGAATCAGAGTCCTGGTTCCTACTCATCTCCGTAGCCATCGAATCCCACGGAGCCCCCCTAATCCCGCTCATGACCTCCGCCCTCTCCGCAATGGCAACCAACAACTCACACGTGGTCCTAAGCGCACTCTTGCGACTCGGCTACATCGTGCGTGAGATGGGGATCTTGCTACATCGCATGAACGAAAGGTGTGATCCCATGGTCTTCTACACCGAAATCCGCCCTTTCCTTGCGGGCAGCAAGAACATGGGACACGCCGGTCTTCCCCAAGGCGTATTCTATGAAGAAGGCCTCGACGAGGAAGGGAACGAAAAAGGGAAATACAGACAATACTCCGGCGGCTCCAACGCCCAAAGTTCCCTCATCGAATTCCTCGACATAATCCTCGGCGTAACGCACACCCCATCTCCCCCCTCTAACCCCACCAAAACCACCTTCCTCTCCGAAATGCGTTCCTACATGCCGGGTCCCCACCGCGCCTTCCTGTCGCACCTCGAAGCCTCCCCCTCCATCCGAGAATACGCACAAGATAGCGCGATCCCCGAGGTAGGCGAGGCGTACAACTTCGCGGTCAAGGAATTAGAACGGTTTAGGGATATCCATATCCAGATTGTGACGCGGTATATTATCCGGCCGTCGCGCGCGGTGCAGCCGCCGGCGGTGCATGGGGGGATTAATATTGCGGTTGCGAGCTCGAGGAGTGTGGGGACGAAGGGGTTGAAGGGGACGGGGGGGACGGAGTTGATGCCATTTTTGAGGCGGGTGAGGGATGAGACGAGGGGGG